GAACGTACATATTGGGCTTAGGGATTTTCTAGAATGCATAATTTCAGCATTAACATTGCAAAATCTCAAGTTGTTTGCTACGCCCCGGCCCTCGCCCGATAACCCGAGAGGGTAAACTGCATTCAAACAAGGATTACGAGTCCAGAATGTTACAACGAATCGTCTTCTTTCTCTAATAATTTGATGAAACGTCAAAGCTTTCGCGCTTCGCGCGGGAGGAAACTTAATTCAGACAAGGATTAAGAGTCGTCAACGGTACAACGAATAGTCTTTTTTTTCTAATAATCTAATGAAACGTTAAGCTTCTGCGCTTTGCGCGGAGGAGGAAAACTTAATTCAGAGAAGGATTCAGAGTCGAAAATGTAACAATGAATCATCTTTCTCTAATAATTTCATAAAACTATGAAAGGTCAAAGCTTCCGCGCTTCGCGCGGGAGGGGGAAAACTGAATTCAGACAAGGAATACGAGTCGAGAATGGTACAACAAATCGTCTTCTTTATCTAATAATTAATGTAAGGTCAAAGCTTCCGCGCTTCGCGCGTAATGGGAAGGGGGGAGGGGGACAGCGAGCTGCCCGAATATGAGTTTTTGATATGTTTATTCGTTTATTTTGGTGAAAAATACATACTATGCTCAAATTGTTGCTCGCTCGCTTCGTTCACTAGCCGAATTGCGAAACCAGAAAATTATAGCCCCCCCCCCCCCCCCCCATGAAAATGTCAAAAATTGTACTGGTATGGTGCTTCTAATATGACCTTGTCAGTATTGGTATGTTGAGTTGAAAAAACGGTCTGCGCAATTTTCAAATTTCCGCCCCCCCCCCCCCCCCCCCCTATTGGAAAATCCTGGATCCGCGCCTGTCACTAGCTCTATCATTGGAACCCTCATGTCTCATTGACTTCACCCACCGTAATTTTTCAAAATAGGTTGCAAGCTCGCCATTGCCTATAATACACATGTGAAACAAGTCGAACTTTAGACTCCGTCTGCCTAGCGATTGTAAGATTATTGGTCAAGCACACGAAGGATAAGAAGCATGAATTATCAATTATCACAATTATCACTATATCGTTTGGACTGTAAGGTATACGAGGGAGATTTGTATTTTCCTGCGGTACAACGTATAGCAGGAAAATGTTGTATATGCGGATTCTTTTAATGATTACGTAATGGAAGTGGCAAGACGCCACGATTCCGTATGGTTTGAATAACTTAGGCAGGTGAAAGTTATTGTATTGAGAAGGAAAGGAATGTTCACACCCGACGGCGCTTTGGCCTGTACTTATAGCGAAGAAGAAGAAGAATGTATAATTCGCGCCATTGCGCGCGAACACATCACACCCAATGGCATACACCCGGTACCCTGCAACCATAGGGATTATACTTAGCTATGCCTGCAACACAGTGGAACATTCTAAGAAATTGAAAATTTATCTACAAAATAGACCTCTTGAATCATCTGAGACGTAACTTACCCTATTCTGATGACTTCAATGAATTTCAAGATAACATTGGCTGCATTTCCATCCAAAAATAAAACTAGTTTGCAGTTAGAAATAGTCCATTTCTCGATAATTTCACAAAATATATTTGCCGCCGCATTCAATATGACGTCATTGACAGCTGATTGGCTAGTTTGGTAGTGACGTTGAACGAGCTTTGTTTGTGCTGCAGTGATCAAGCGAGCGAAAATGAGACAATCGGAGCAATATGCTACATTTTGCAGATAAAAAGAAGATCATAAATGAGATAACATGGTCACCAGGCATAAAATTCTTTACTGGCATTACAGAAATGCGGTTGTCAAAATCTGCCGGGCGAATTAACTTCAAAACTATAGGTCACATTATCTCATTTCACTTTTCAATGAGCAATCTGTCAAATATCAATGTCATGTTAATTATAAACTTGAACCATGTCATTTTAGCTGCCATAAATTGCCCTCAGTTGTCTGTGAATAATATAAATATAAGGATATAAACTAAAATCCCAGCCTGTTGTTTTATGTGAAATTATATGAATGGCTATCGAAAGAGTAGTATGAATATTACATTTCACAAGGGCCTGGCCTATACACCTGTCAGGCCTTTGAAATTGCTAGGGTGATTTCTGTATACGTTGTGAGTTTTGCTTTTTAAGTTAAGGCGAATAAAAGGTGAACATTTTCATCTCTATCCCTACCATTAATCTCTCTCGGCAATAAAATGAATGAATGCATGAATGAATGTAGAATTAATAAATAAATAGATGAATGGATGAATGTAACATGTAGCATTATATAGAAGATGTGGGGGGGGGGGGGTATAAGGGTGCCAAATTTGGAGAAGGAACATTTTCGAAGGCTATTTTTGCTTTCAATACACAACCAGAAAACTTTTTTTAAAGGTCTCCTTTACATGCCACTAAGATGCAGAAATTGCCGGAATTTATAGTTGTTCTCTGTAATGTCAACAAAATAATTAGAGACTAGCTTTCAACCCTCTTTTGTTGTTAAGGTGCACTGGCATAAACATGAAGGCGACACCCCCCCCCCCCCCCCACCATCCCGCTTTTGCATAATTACTACATTCTTTTGCAAAAATTGACTTGCTATGGGAAGTAAATCGACGACTTCGTTTTTAAGATCATTTCGGAAAGTTTTGTCTTTCAAGTTGGACTATATTAATGCATGTATTATCAAATACTGCATAATTTAAAAAACTATATAGAATACAAAAAAAACACAACAACTTAAACAAATAATCAAACAGGAAACCACATTTGCATCTCATGTAGGCCTACACTAAAAATTGTAATGATGATGATTAAGACGGTGTCGGCGATGATGATATAATGTCGATAATGCTAGATGCTTCACCAATCAAACTATTAGGCCTAGGCTGATATATTTTTTATCAAAATTTGAGAGATGTCGAGAACAGTTTGCAATTTAAAAAAATGAAGAAACAAAAATGAAGTGCCATTACTTTCTTTTCCAAAGTGTTCACTTAGTTGCTGTAAGCCTTTGGTGTTTTTCGGATTTTTTCACCCAGATGCCTAATAGTGGTTAATTTAGAAATGTTGTTATTTTGATTTTCTTTCCATCTCCCGATTAGCGATAGAACACTCAGTTTTGACTGATTACCTAAATCAAAACATTAAAAGAAAAGTTGCAGGATATTCCAAAGGCAGTAACAGAACGGTTTTCCCAGATCAGAAAGTGAAGTTTTAGCATGGCGGAAGTCGATAAAGATCTGTCTTGAGTTGCGAGCGCTGGCTTTGAAGGTCTATTTTTGTGATAACTGCGCGCGAGCGGAATTAGGACGGGTGATAGCGGAAATAAGCAAGGCAAATGCCTCACGCAGCCTGCGTACTACGGACGATCGCGTTCGATTTGAGGCGTAAAAAATAGCATGATTGAAATTATCGCTACTAATCGATATACATCAGCGCTTGTATAAGTCATTTTCAGAGAAGTAATCTAAGAAAAAGTGCCTATCGAGCGGAAACCGTGCAGGGTACGGTACGAAAAGAGTGTTTAATGTTGACAACTTGACACTCGACAAAATATACTAATTGGTTCAAGTAGTCAACATAATACAATGAAATTGCAAATGACAGTCACAACGTAAAACATATTTGTTCAATGCATTATCCAGCCGACTGAACAAAGAATGATGCAGACTTCCTTCGATTTCACGGAGACACAGAGACATCCTGGACCGCATTTTTCTCTCTCCCCCTCTCTCTCTCTTCCTTATATCTCTCCCTCTCCCCCCCCCCCCCCTCTCTCTCTCTCTCCCTCTCTCTTCTCTCTCTCTCTCTCTCTCTAGCTCTTTCTCTCATCACAATTTCCATCAGTCTTTCTAGCGCTTTACAAAATTGTTCTGTTTTTCTTTGTACCATGTTTTTTTGTACAGGAACTACAAACTTGCATTTTACATTAAAACTCAACGAATGCATTCATTAGTTCAAGTTGTCATCATATTTAACAAAACGTCGTGACGCTCAAAAGACATGTGAAGATCAGCAGCAAAAATAAGCCTTGAAACTATACTTGTTTTTATGATTCTCCACGCACTCCTTCCCAGATATACCATGGGATATTTAATTACATTGAATTTTTTTTTTTGCAACATACAAATCAAGTTACATGTCAGCGATGATGATTATGATGATGAAAATGAAAATGAAAATGAAAGTAAGAATATTTCGATGTAAACATGTCTGACACAGAATATTGATAAACGTTGCATAAATCTTCATTTTTCTCCACCGTATTAGAACTTTGAAATTCTTGTCTATCTTATATGCTTTTCACACTGGCAATATTTTCCTTAACCTACGGGGTTAAGCCTATTCCATTTTTTGTTCAGACTGGTTTTTACCAAAGTGGGCTAAAGTTGGCTAACCCCACCTATAGTACGGGGTTAACTAACCCTGCAAAATAGCAGGACTAACTCCGCAATTGTGGTGCTAACTCCTGCTAACCCCGCAATTGCGGTGCTAAGCAAATGAATGAGAACAGAAACGAAAAATAGTCCGGTACTACGCAATGGAGCGTATCGCAGCTGGCCAGATGCGAGGTATGTCCAATCATAACATACACGATATCCGGGGTTAACGAAATGCAGTGAGAACAGCGGGAATTTTCTTATTCCGGAATAGGCGCTAGTACGGGACTAAAAACAGCGAGTGTGAAAAGCCCAAAAAATAGTCCGGGGTTAAGGATAGTACGGGGCTAAGCAAAACCAGTGTGAAAAGAAAGTAGACTATACTATAATGAATGCTCCTTAGCTTCTTGTTTTTGGAATGATGAAAAAAGATTCTTTAAAGGCGTATCTCTTCACTATGTTATCCTTTTAGCTTTTTTTTTGTTGGTTGAAATGATGAAAATGATTCCTAAAAAGCGTATTTTTTTTTACCTTGTTATCCTTTAGATTTCTTCTTGTTTAAACGATGAAAAATGATTCTTTAAAAGCGTATCTCCTTTAATACCTTGTTATCCTTTACAGATTACTATTCTGAGACGTGTTCACCATGTTTGATTTTGTAAACACTTCCTCCGTGCCGCAAGAGGAGGAGGACATGGAGCTCGATGTGGAGAGCCTGGGTGCTCGAAAAAGCCTGGCGGGATGGTTGGGCTCCATTGCTGTCTTGGGTTTCTGCGGGAACTCCCTCGTCGTTCTCTCCGTCATCCTGTACCCGAAGCTGCGTACGATCACCAATGTATACATCACCAGCCTTGCATGTAGCGATATCCTCTTGAGTTCAACCATACCCTGGATCATCGTTGGGTTGGTATCTACCCGGGGTTGGCCGCTACCGAATGAGACCTGTATCTTGGTGGCTGTACTGCGGTTCACCTGCAGCGGTAGCAGCGTGTGGCATCTTGTTGCTATTGGTTTCAACCGCATGTTTCTCATCACCACTTCAAATGCAACGTATACAAAGGTATCATTAATAAGATCCTTGCTGCTGCGTGTTTTTTCCTTTTCGTTTCCTTCCTATCCCCTAAGGATATTAAAGAACGCAATTACTGTAACCAGGGGAATTGGGGTTGGAAAAAAATACTTGCACCCTCTGTTGTAACATGTTAACTCATTTTCACATTGGTCAAATATTAACTGGATGATTTCGTTTAAAATTTATTGGAATAATGATTTAAGTGTTGCTCATATAGTACGCTCGAAAATACATAATTGGTAGTAATTTTATAATAAGCCTTATTTAATTTCTTGTTTCCTCCTTAGATATACAGCCGTGTTAACACAGGCATCATTCTCTTCTTCACCTGGCTGATCCCTTTCTCTGTCATCATCTTGCCTTACGCTATCGGTGCAACGGATCTGGGCTATGATAATGGACCTCATCTCTGCAGTGATCTGGAGGATAGGCCAGACGGAACGGAGAACCTCATACACACCTATTTGGCTGGCACTTTCTTAACTGCTGTACCATTGTTCATCGTATTATGCGTATACCTACGCATCTACATACATATTAAACTGCACGTGAGGAAGCAAAATGCATGGTCCTCTGAGCAGCAGCAACAGCAGAAGGATACTGCGGTAGCCACCGTTAGTTCGACCGTGCAAGGCGCGGGATCAAGCGACAAGGAAAGCGGTAACAACAAGGAAAGTGGTGGTGGGAGCAACGCAGATGGTACTGAAGGCCAAGGCAACTCAGCAAATGAAAAGAACACACGGGTATGAATCGTTAATTTTTAGGGGGTATTCAGTCTTGTATTCTACATATCCGGACCTATCCTATTCCTTCAAACGCGCATTGCGATGTATATCATAGTTGGAGATGTGGTCCTCTGTCCTAATTGGTTTGGGTACTGAGCATTTAACAGAGTCGGATGGCTCAGCAGTTTCCTAGGAAGTAATTGGTGCCATAGTATACCATTTCCGTCATGAAATTTGTTGAATGTCTAAGGCTTGTGGGGGAAATTACACCCATCAGGGCACCTTGTTTGAAAGAATTTCGTAGCGCTGACGAAGATTGTTTGGAGTCATAAGGGCATTATTAATCCATACACATTAACACACAGTTAACACCCTTCTTGAGCTGACCTCCCATTGTACGACATTTCTTGTAGTACTATAAGGCAAGAGCAATACGAATGTGAATCCGGAGCTAGTGCGGTTCCCATTTTTTCGTTACGACTTCTTTGTCACCCGCTTCAATTAATGGTTCAACTGTCTTTTCTTTTATTTGCTCGTATGCTTTCTCAACAGAATCCCACCGCTGCCGCCAAAAAGCCACCAGCTAAGAAAGGCAACGATCTGGAGACCCGCATCACCAAGAACACATTCTACGTTGTCATTGGGTTCATCGTGTGTATTGTCCCATACGGCTTCAACGTTCTCACCAAAATCGGGCCTGACGGTACACCTTTAGGTCAAGCTTTCCTCCTGTTCAACATATGCATGAACCCGATAATCTACGGCACCAAGCATCCGCATTTCAGGGCCGCCATCAGAAATATCTTCACGGGACGAGTTTCGGGTCCACTCGTCACGTCTAATACAGTTGCGCCTGTCAGCCACACTCAAGGGACCACTTGATTATCCACTTAAGGCATTTCTATTTGTGTCTTGTCGTGCCCAACGTCTGACCATAAGCCAGTACACCATTACAAAAAAAAAAATCGAAGTTTTAAATGGGCCGAGGTGTGACCATTCTTTCAAACGTTCATGGCATTTATTATGTTAAATGAACCCCTAAAAAATGCTAGATCCGGCAATATAAAGGTTGAATCTAATATGTGCAAGGTGTTTATTTTTCATTTTGAAAGTGCTGTCACTCCTCGACCCTTTTTTTAATGCTCGTTTAACATTTGTATAATATACTTGCACTTTCTATAATGTAAATTTACATGTGTGGACCTTCTAAGCGCCATTTGCTCATAATTTCAAAGTATATTTTAAAAGCTTATCTGAAATGTTCAAACGTTCATGGCATTAATTATTCAAATAGTAATCATTCCCATTCTGCATTAAAAAAATTATTTGATGTTTTGCAGAGAATGCATCTGCCTTTAAAAAAGCTTTATCTTGTGATTATAAACACTGATATCTTGATATTTACTACAGTAAAAGGGGACAAAAATGAAAGGGCTTGACAAAATCATATAACTTCTAAAAGATTCTATTGTCCTAGTACTGAACCCTATTTCATAAAACTTATTGTTCATACAACTTATTATTGATAATTGATTTAATCAATGAAATCCTTGAATTCGATTGACTGGGAGGAAATTCATCGTATATCTAACAATTGGTTATTTGACATTCATCAATTTCTGTTTTTCACGCATCAAGTGACATTTTGTGTCCATTTTGTACAGAAATAATCTGTACCGTAAATGAGAATGTAATCTGAAGACGCGAAGATCCGATGGAAAGAATTAAGCCAACAGAGAATGCAGTCTCCGATGTGACTACGTCTTTTTCTGTCGTCACCCCTTCATTATTGCAAGAAATAGTGGAAACAGACACATTAAGAGAGAATATCAAAATTTTACTCTTGCTTTCCTCAAACATCCCTTTACAATATATCGTACTACATAAAATGATATTTCATTTACAATAATAGATACCCGAACCTGTTAAAAAATGGAATGGAGCCCAAAACCCAAAAGTGAAGGAAGAAAAACAGGTAGAAATGAAAAGAACTAATTTAGATAAAAGTGCATTTCCAAAAGAATTCACAATTATCCTTCAGTTGAAAGTATAATCAGTATTATCGAAAAAAGCCCCTGGAAATTCGTCAGCCTTATATTATAATTATAAGCCTACAGTTTTATTTATATCGCCCAGATTTTGCTTGGTTTGTCAAGTATAATTATGTTTTTAGAAAGAGTGAACGTATAATTATAGCCAATTCAAGGGCTTTTGCACTATAATCACAATACATGTTTATTTTATCGAGAACGTTGATGTTTTATTGATTTGTAATTTGCATGTCAGTCCTTGATTTTACTTCGGCCTAATGAGACATTTATACACGTATAGTGCATAGACGAGGTCACGTTTACTCAATATAACAGCGTCTATGTTCTACCAAGGATATAGATGTTTATATTCAATTATCATTCGGATACAGAAGCACTTTCATTTTGTCACATAATGAAATAATAATGACTTTTTATATAGTGCAAATCCCGAGCTTCTGAATAAATTACGTAATTGATTCTGATCGCACGGGGGAGGTAATCCTTTCAATAATTATGTAGGACACAGTAGGTCACAATGATATACAAAAATGAACGGAGCTTTTGCATGAATCAAGGGGTGAAATATAGATTAAGGGAAAGGGTCCTTTAAAAAGGTCTTGTAACAATCACTCAGGTAATCACGTTTCGAGTACTTTCGTAGAACACACTATCTGACGATAACCAATAGTAACCAAGAGTACATGTAAACTAATATAAAAAGAGTAAATATACAAAATATACGAATAGTTTCAATAACAAGCACTTGTACTTTTTTAAGTGGTAAAGTCTAGGGTTCATTAAGTACGAAAAGAGTTACGTCATGTACTCGCACAAAATGTGAGTGTTCGTGATTTACCGGCCTGTAAAAGAAACCCCGAAGTGTCGACCCTACCCTTCGAAGATTAGATAGCTTGGATCTAAAACATGTTACATGAGTGATTGTTATAAGCCGGTCACAACGATCTACAAAATAAAACTACAGTGCTTTTGCATGAGGGATGAATTACAGATCAAGGGAAATTAAAGATCATTCAGAAGGTGGTGATATCTCATTCCGTTAACAGTGTATACAAAAGAAAATCTGTTTCAGTTTCAGTTTACTTTACATATCAAGATGAAACTACTTTCATTCTTAATACCCACATGTTTGTTGACACAAAATCAAATTACACAATTGCAATCTTAGGCTAGCCAGTAATGATTTAACATAAATACATGTATGTGTCATAGGCTCTTGATATAAAGACGTTTGCATCGATTCTGTCTAAGGTTTTTGCAAATAGACACATTCTTCATTATTCATGTATTTTGTTTCTTTACACGTATTTTTCCATATGTGGATTCAGAACTCCTGGTTCGGGCTCGATCTAGCCTGAAAATATTTTTTCGACAAACACTCAAGATAATAGGGAAGCAGAGAGAAAGGGAGAGAGAGAGAGAGCCGAGAGAGAGAGAGAGAGAGAGAGAGAGAGAGAGAGAGAGAGAGAGAGAGAGATGAGGGAGAGAAGGTTTCACGTGCATTAAACAAAAGTCTATTTCTGTATAAATGTACTGCGGGACACATTTTCATTTATATGTACTAAGTACTTAAATGTGCCAGATAAGGGTTTTCATCCCCCCCCCCCCCCTCCCGTGCGATTTTCATAATATCAGAGGAAAAGACCACATAAGAGCTTGTTTGTCTCAATCAGAATCATGATTGAAAATTTATTTTCCCTTTCAAAAGCCATAGTAAGTCTATGCTGTCAGTCAGAAGGCTCGTGGTGTAGCTGTAGGTGGGGGAACAGGGGGCATATATATGCCGACCATCAAATGAGAAAAGAGGTGAAAAAAGAAGGAAACACAAGAAGAAGGGGAAAAGAAAAAGGAGAGGGACAATTAAAGGGGACGTGAAATTAAGATGTTTCGTAAACCCCACCTCCTCTTACACCCTCTTCTAAATATAGGCCTACTTTATTAACTTGAATGTCATCGACCGAGTAAGAACGCCCCTCCCCCCCCCCCCCCCATGATGCCGGTGCCTCTCAATGTCTGGACCCATGCATGAATGCATGAAGCACTTTGGGGCATTCGACGGCAAATTCTCATTTCAAGTACATATTTTCCTTCAGTGGTGGCAATAAAAAATGGTTATAAACATAATGAAGATAAATAATGTCTACATTGATTAGATGCAGTGATGAAAACATTTGGACGTCCCTCTTTAAATAAATGAGAAAAAAAACATGGACGGCCCTTTTTCTTTTGATAATACAATGTTGCCCTCATTGTTTGCTTTCACGATTATGGGGAAAGGTTTTGCAGATGCATAATAATTTATCATTATACAAGAATCTCTCTTAATGCCACTGCAGCAGCTCATAAATTATACAAACCCCCTTTTTTTGCTGCAAAATACCAACTTAAAACCTAAAATAGCGATTTCAATGCGGATGTTGTGAGAGACTTTATATGGGGTATGTATGGAGAGCAAGAAGACGTAATAATTTTTTAGAGAGTATATATGGGGAGCGTTTCCATTTCTATTTTTTAATGAAAGAATGAGCGGGGAAGAGAGTGGTATCAAATTTAAAATGGACGAAGTGGTTTGATGTACATTATTGTTTCAGGGGATGCTCTCTTCAAAATTAGTCAAGACTAACTGCTGCAATTTTGTAAAACTTTATGTTTGAAATATTTGATTATATATTAAACATATATAATATAGAATAATGATGAAATAGATCTATGACTTTATAAAAGTTAAAGTTTGACATGTTATTAGAAAATATGTGTTTGATGTTAAAATAACACAATCATTAAATAAATGTTATATTGTAGGTAACGTTTGAGTCGTAATGAAAAGTATGATTTGCGTGAACATCCAACGTGAAATGTGGTTTATGTAAGGTAATCAAACGTATATGTTCGGTACAATGCCTTTTGTGTCAAATTTAGTTTATTTATACGATGTATTTGAAATATTACTGAAATTCTGTGTACATTTTTGAAAGTGAAAGGGAAAGTCATCCCTGGTATTAAGTTGGTTTTAATAGAAATAGAAAAGTGCGAGAAACAAATGAGTGGAAGTTTGAGCAATATCTGATTATAGATAGAAAAGTTATGTTTTTGGGGGTTATTGTTATCAGTGTAACACAAATTGGCAACACTATGACGTATCTTGCGAGGTCCTCTCCTATTTGCTATGTTCATAACATTTCATAAACTTTCATTGTCTTAGTTATTGATGACGGAATAGATTTGTTTTATACAGGGGTTGTATAACATATTTGCAATGAATATAATTTAGGGTAGATGTATGATTGACATTTTCTTATGGGAATATATATGTATGTTTTTTTAGCACAGGGCGAATCGGAAGGGACCTCGCAAGATACGTCACAGCGTTGCCAATTTGTGTTTGATAGATCGCACCTTAAAATACTGTAGTCATAACTTTTTTATTTTAATAGGATTTTGCTCAAAATCTCACTGACCTGTTTCTCTATTTTATTATTTGTTTTCTTCTATTAAAACAAACTTAATATCAGGGTGGACTTCCCCTTTTACAAAGCACATCTCCCCCCCCCCCAAAAAAAAAAAAAAAAAATCTCCTGAAACCTCTCTTTTCTGAAGTGATGTATCTACAAAGAGTGTATATAGTTCATACGTGGTTTGTCACATAATAAACGGACTGTAAATTAATGCATTTTTAAACATTTTCACAAGTGATCTTATTTTTGTTATAAAAGACTAAAATATGTAAAGTAAACAGCGCCACCAGTCAATGTACTTATTCACGTATATTTAGACAGATTAACACAATTTCAGTGACTGGAGAAAAAGGCATTAACGATTTGTATACGTCTCTAAAATAGATTATGAAGTATATACGTATATTATTTACTAAGAAATTAAAGGAATAATGTTTAATATTGTTCATGTTCTAAATGTGATATGTCGTATAGTGATGTCATGCAAAGCGACTAAATGAGGTTCGTTGAGATTGAGAGAGGGACACAAAAATCGAGATCGGGGTAGAGAGAAGGATGGAGATGTAAAGATGGAGAAGTAGAGAGAGAGAGAGAGAGAGAGAGAGAGAGAGAGAGAGGATGACAAAAGAGATAGAGAGGAAAAAGGGGGAGGTGAACACCTAGATGTGGAGCGAAATGAGATGGAGGGAGAGGGATGGAATGGAGAGGGAGACAGAGAGTTATACCAGGGCTGAACCTTTGATGGAAGAAATAAGTGGGTAAAGTAAACACGCTTCCCATACGACTTAATTATATTTATTATTATAACCAAACTTTTTCACCCAGTTATCTAAGAATACAAGCCTTGCTTTTAGAGTGACTCCTCCAATAATACATGCATGTTTTCATTATTTTGTTCAGATCATTATAACATACATGTACTTAGTAGGCTTTATTACCATTGTAAAGAGTAGTTTTAATTTCTTTGGTATTACTTCTCATATTCATTTTGTTACGTTTTCTGACTATTTTCGAAGTGTATTAAAAAAAAGGCAAACTCTGAAACTTACAAATTGAAATAGGGCAAGCTAGGCACATCGAAGCTATATTGTATCAATGTTACACAAATTACAGGAAAATCATATAAGTATGATTTGACCGCACGAGAACATAAAGCGTAATCAAAAAAGGAAATAATATCATATACACACTGTACTATAGGTAGTGGCGTAAACCTTTGCTCGTGCGTTGTGGAATGCTCTCTATCGAGAGAGAGAGAGAGAGAGAGAGAGAGAGAGAGAGAGAGAGAGAGAGGTAACGAGAAATTCGTGAAAGCAGATCAGTTGAAGTGATTAAAATGATCTTAAAACGTATTATTTTGTTCCTTTATGTTTATTATCCAGATGCTTTTATGTAATCTCCTTTTTTCCATACAAGTGCGCCTTCAACCAGTGGCGGATTCAGGGAGGGAGAATTAAACAACGATAGAAAAGAGGTGCAAGAGCATGAGGAATTGCATTTCTTTAAAAAGAAGGATGGGATAACAACCAGGCGCGTCGCTAAAGGGGGTGGGGGGGGGGTGGGTGCGACACCTTCCCACCTGTCAGGAAATTGGCGGCAAAATTGCCCTGCTGTCTGGAAATTGAGAAAAGGGGGAGAGGGAAAGGGGAAAAAAAGAAAAAGAAAAGGAAAAGAAAGGAAGGAAAGGGAAGAGAAGAGAAGAAAGAAAGAGAAAAAAAGAAAAAGAGGAAGGAGAGGAAAGAAAGGAAAAGAAAGAAAAAGAAAGAAAAGAAAGAATAGGAGAAAAGGTAAAAAAGAAGAGAAAAAGGAAACAAAAGAAACGAGGGATGAAAGAGGGGATAATAGCCTGAGAGAAGAGGGTGGGAGTAAAAGAGAGAGAGAGAGGGGGGATGATGGGTGGAGTCACCACGTCGAGGGGGCAAGAAAAATACGCATAGATAGTTTTCGTTGCTTTGTCGGGGTCCGCTGTGTCGGTATTCGTGCTCGATCCTCGTGTACTATATCAATGCAGAAGTCGGTGAGATGTACGTCGGTCGGCCGGCAAATTTGTTTTCCCTACGAACTGTGAATGATATCGGACAAATTCAGACAATGATTAAGAGTCGGTACAACGAATCGTCTTCTTTCCATTATAATTTAATCAAACGTGAAAGCTTCCACGCTTCGCGCGGGAGGGGGAGAAACTGAATTCAGACAAGGATTAAGAGTCGAGAACGATGCTACGAATCGTCTTCTTTCTATAATAATTAAATGAAACGTCATAGCTTCTGCGCTTCGCGCGGGAGGGGCGAAACAAGAAGTAAGAGTCAGGAACGGTACAACGAATCGTCTTCCTTTTCTAATAATTTAATGAATAGTCAAAGCTTTTGCGCTCCGCGCGGGAGGGGGAAACTGAAAAAGAACTTAGTTCCTGGCCCCGGGTTTATAGGGTAAAATTTGTAGACATTGGGAGATTGGCATTAATATATTTGGCGGTAATTGGTGGCTAGTTTTGTCGGTAAAGGGTGGCCTCTACAGCCACCCCCCCCCCCCCCCTGCTGAAAAGGTCTAGCGACGCCCTGATAACAACACGGTTTGTACACTCGAGATAATTTTTGCAAGTACTACTAGTCAAGTACCAGACCATCGTCTTTGTGCATTGTGTAGCAACGAACTATATACAACGTCTCGCGACGTGACAGATCACTTTTCTTTAACTTCTAACCTATCAGGAGGCCTCGTTTTTTCAGGAAGTCCCGGTGCACTAAATTTGGTTCTCAAATTGCAAAAGATCCCTCTACTGTTGGACGGGGTACGAGAAAGCAATTTTCCGTCATATTACTCCAGGCTTGGTCGCAATGGCGTAGACAGGTTCGTACACCTGGGGGATGACTCAGGGGCGGATCTAGCTTTTTGCTAAGGGGGGGGGGGGGTTGACCAAAATAATGACGATGCTCTAGCCGCGAAGCGGCGATCCGATTTTTTTTTGGGTGTTTATTTGAACCCCGTAAGTGATGTTTTCCTGGCATCTATTAACACAATGGAGACCATAAAACGTCATGATAACGTCTTTTTAAATCAAGTAACAGTTAAATACACAGTTATATCCAGAGTTATCATGTGTTTGGTTAAGTTACCAGATGAGTTGAATATCTTCTCACAATATTTGCACTTGAAAGGGTTTCTCTCCAGCGTGCGATCTTTTTTCTCCTTTTTTTTTTCTTTCTCTTTTTTTCCTTTTTTTTGTTTTGTTTGTTTTTTGGGCCGCCCAAGGGGGGGTTTTTAACCCCCTAACCCCCCCCCCCCCCGTAAATCCGCGCCTGTTTAATCTTGTGGTTATCTTGTGGTTTCCAAACCACAAGATAACCACAAAATACTTGTAAGATTTTCTTTTTTTTACCGTCTGAATTGGCTTTCACCGTGTGAATGCGGCTAATAACAATAAACACAATTACAATAATGATGAGGATTATTATTATCATCATCATTATTATTATTGAATATTATTATTATTATTATTATTATTATATTATTATTAATATGAACGGTGACAGAGCGCGCTGGTCGAGCGGTTTAAGGCGCTGTTTTTAGTAACATCACCTATTGTTCGCAAGAGTTCGAATCTCATCTTCGACAAAAGTTTTTTTATTTTTTATTTTTTATTTTTTAGTCTATTTTTTTTCGGCATATAAAAGTATTAATGACTGCTTTAATATTCGAGAAATAGTTGTTTTTATACGCTCTCGGGAAGGTTACAATTGGGCTATTGCCCTCGGCACGCCTCGGGTAATAGCACAATTCTAACCTTCCCTTGAGCGTATAAAAACAACTATTTCTCTCAAAGCAGTCATTAATACTATATCATTATTAATATTATAATTGTTATCATTATTATTATTACTATTATTATCATCATTATGACTTATTAAAGGTACTATGTCCTTTTTGCAGGCCAAAAAATGAAAAAGTTAAATTCCAACTGCATTTGAGAGATAATACTTATCTAGAACTTCCCTAAAAAAGGTGGGGCTTGAAAATGTCTTTAAGTGGGAAAATAATGACTATTAGTTGTCAAATCGACTTTAGGGCTATAGAGCCAAAAAGTAATAGTCTTGATTTTCAGACAATTGTACCGAATGGTCTTACGTTTTATGTTGCGCAAAGATTCAATCAGTTTAATCTTGGCCATCACAGAAGTGTGTTATTGATGTAGACAAATGCTCATGTACCCTTTACAACTCTTTTCATGTATGTTATTACCAAAGAAGAAAAAAAGCCAGTCAGTCACTCAATAGTGTCTGACAGTGAAGTCTAGCAAGTAAACGGGTTTCCTTGCATAATTTGAATATGAGGACACTGCTAACGTTTAAATTTTACAGATAGGACATACATGACATATTCATAATTCCTGCAAAGTTCTACAGAATTTGAGGTTGGCTTCCAAAGGAACAGTACCTTTAAGTAAGCAAATATCATTCCCCAAAACCTAGGGGGGGGGGGATGATTGTACATGCCATCCCCCCACCTTGTGAGGTGGGGGGATACATCCCCCTCATCCCCCCCCCCCCCCCCCCGTTGTCTACGCCCCTGCTTGGTCGCACCGCTCCCTCGCCCTTGACGCCTCGCTCCATCGTTTTTCATATATTTCACCCGAAACGATTTTGTTCCCCCGGCCCCCGGTAAGAAATTCCTGGATCCGCCACTGCCAACTCTTGATTTCAAGTGTATTCGGCGCCGTATAAATCTCATATTATCATTATTATTATTATTATATGGGCATCTTGCGGTTTCTGATTTTTTGTTTTTTTCTTCGTATACATTCTGATCGACGAGGAAGTGATAGTTTGCCATCGCCTGAAACCAAAAGGTGATTATTTGCTTTATATTCCACATCTAAAAGAATTTAACTACAAAAAAAAAGGACATGTATGCATCTACATAAAAGACACCAGGCCCAAATTCACACCAAAAAATTAAAAGTTTAACCTTACCCCTTGAGGGTACGGTCCGCGCATGTGTTTGCTTTTATTGCGCTCATTGGTAATGCTGCGCTCATTGGTAATGCGCGCTTAATTACGCCTGTTTTAGTGCGCTTTTGGATAATCTTCAGTGAAAGTGCGTTGCACTGTGTAGGTAGTAGTACTATCTACACAGTGTAACGAACTTTTTGCTTCACCCATAAAATAATAATGGGCGAACTATCTTTCATCACGTGATTTACTTTTGACCAATCGTAGAGCAAGATTCTTAGTATGTGGAATATAATACTTACTAGCTCTATATAGTTAAGTCGATTCGACAACTCGTTATTTTCCAACTTAAAGAAATTTTCAAGCCACCCCCCCCTTTTTTTTAGGGAAGTTCTAAATTAGTATCATCTTTCAAATGCCGTCGGAATTTAACCTTTTCATTTTGTTTGGCCTGCAAATGGGACATAGCACCTTTAACGACGCAGATCGGATCACCACAAAACATTTTTCGGGAATCGTTTAATGTTCCACTTATAATTCACTGTGGATTTAATTTAGGCCTAAGACTTATCAAGGAGTTATCATGTTGTTCCCAGGCGCGTACGCAGGGGGGGGGGGGGGTGTTTGGGGGGTTAACCCCCCCCCCTTGGTAATTTTATGTGTGTAAACCCCCCTAAAAAAAAACCTAAACCCCCCCCCCCCCCCTTTGGATTTTTTTTTTTTTTTTTTTAATTATTAAAAAAAAAAAAAAAAAAAATTACCCCCATGGCTGACCTAAGAAAGGTGACCTTACCCCCCCCCCCAACGGAACAAAATGTCAAATTTTCAAATTTCAAGACCCCCCCCCCCCCAAAAAAAAAGTGTCCTCTTACCTCTCTCCTCGTTTTTTGTTATGCCATTCGATGGGAGGGGGGGCACGTCCCCCTCCAATAGCTACATGTACGCCACTAATTATGAGAATAAAAATGTATGCGGCCTTTAATTGTTTATGGTTGAGACTGAGAAATTAGGGGCAGGGGCGCTGCCCGGACTATGAAATGCAATTAGATAGGATTTCAATTAATCTCAAGTGTCGTTTTGGGAGGCAGGTTTATGTATTGATTTACATATGGTCAGGGCTTGAATTAATCAGGCCACCAAGGCCATGGCCGTGGATGCCCCTTTGATTGGCCTCAATGCCCCTCTCATTGGCCTTGGAGATTTTTTGGTGCCCTTTCCAATTCTTCCTATTTGTTCTGCAATATAGGAATGTGCCCTACAGAAAAGTGGCCTTGCCCTAAAAATATTGAAATATAAGGCCTGTATGGTAATTAGAAAACATAAATTAAACTAATGATTTCTACCTGTGTTAACAGAATGATGCACTTCCGCACACTAATTATCAGCTGTTGTCTTCTATGCTTCTGTTATGCATGTAATATGTATACGAACAGTACGTAATCAGGATGATCAGTGCATACACGCCCACCGCGCAAGCGCAGTTTTGTCTGCACGGGACAAGATGGCGACCCGCTAGTGGTAAAGTTTCACAGAAAATACACTCTTAAAAATGTGTTTTACTGTCATCTAAAGTTTGATATTATATGAGGTAAAATTGTATGTGTACGAAGTTTGAGGGTTACTGGTTCACTCCTGTACTATTTGGATCGATTATATAAATAGCAGTATTTACGGTCCGCTATCCATTTATTATTTTGGCAATCTTGTGAATGTGAGTTGTGTTGTGTACGGAAGCGGGAGTGACTTGTGGCCTGTGGAGAGTGAGTATAGTGCAGTGCACTGTGCATGTGTGAGCTGTGACTGCCCTAATATCAGGCTAATGACTAATGCCTTTACTTTTACCCGAGATTCTGGAAAAATGCTGAGTTCTCAGTTGTCGGGCTTCCAGTGCAATTTTGTGTTTCTTCCTTCACGTAGTTGGGTTCGTTCGTTCCCCTTGAATCATTACATGAGTCGATGATCTCATTGCAGTTTAATTATGTGACTCTGTCTTGGCGTGCGTCTGTGTCTGTAATTCTGTGAAACTTTGAAATGGAAAGGTTGCTTTGAATCATAACCATATAACGTAGAGTTGATATTGTCATTCGAATTGAACATGTGAACTTGGTCTGAATGATATTGATAAGTGATGACTGATGTTGAGCTGTATATAATTGTAAATGGAATTGCCTTTTTCTGTTGGAATTGCCTTTTTCTGTTGGAATTGAAGGTGAAGCTCCTTAGTCTTGGGCTGGTCTTGAGACTTGGGCTTCACTTTAGGTCTATTAATTGTCTTAGAATCTCTAAATCTACGCTTAGATGTAATGTTGATACTGATCGAGTTGGGCCAAGACTGGCAAAAGAAATGATGATTTAATATCTTCTTCATCTCTTCTTATTTATCTTGCCATATTTTATTATACATATTGTGATTGAGTTTCGACATTGTCCTTTTATTTCATTTTTGTTGTTGTTAGCTACTACCACTAGAGTCTAGGTTTATATTAAATTGACAGATATGTACGAAACTATAATATAATGATAATATTTTAAACATTTCTTAAATACTGATTTTGCATAAATTGAAGTAGACTTTTTTTTTTTCTTATTAAACAATTGCATGCAATTTGGGTAATCAGATGCTTAAAAATTTCGGAATAAAAAAATAAATAAAAAAAACATGCCTTAGGTCTATATGAAAAATACACTTATATTATCATTTGTTTACCATATTTACACACATGTAGTAATGTGTATGAACATGCAGTTTGAAGAATGTACAATGATGTCATAGTTGAAATGATTTTAATCTTGATTTTTTTCTTTTCTTGCTTGGACCTCCCTGTTTTTTAGCAGAGCTATATTTGAACTATCAAGATGGCTATGAGGGAAAATAAGGATGTGGCCAGCTACTACACTACAAAGCACTCATGGAGAGGAAAGTAAGTAAATGGATGCCTCGGCTTTTTAAAATTGTATTACTCCCTTGTAGGTTATTTTGCACTTTCACTCTCTACCAGTCCTTTCACAATCCTCTTGCCCCTCTAAGTCCCAATATCAGAACTATCAAACAATGAAGATGATTATAAAACATAAATTATGTTTTTGATACACTTGCATCAATTCCATCACTATGTTGTACTCATTATTTTCCAATTTGGTTAATTTTTTTATTGTCTTGTTGTTGACCATATTCAAATTCATTTCATTGGTTTCTTTGTCACTAATATTATATATCCATCTATCTATCTATCTATTTATTTATCTGTGTATGTCCCATACCGTAGTCTTGAAGGTTGTTTGGGCGACAATGAAATGGACCTTGAGCAACAGGTTCTCCATTTAAGTGCTTCCCGTCTTCAGCTGTTTTAGTCAGCTGCTGGAAAGACATTCCCGTCCACTTCTTGATGTTATTAGACATGTCCTAGTTGGTCTGCCCCTCTTTTCTGCCCCTCTTTCTTCTCCCATCAGTTCCCCCTAGCGGTATGGTGTTTGCCAAGCTATTCTTCCATCTAGTTAAATGCACAAACCCCTGTAACTGCCTTTTTTTCACAATTGTCACTAATCTAGAGAAAGATACATTTATTAAAATAATTATATATTTTCATGTTTCCAGATACAAGAGGGTATTTTCAGTTGGATCCCATGGGGTCACAACATACAATCCAAGCACCATGGAGGTCACTAATCAGGTACGTTATCTTCAAATTTTCCTCTTCCACTCATTTCTACTTCTATTTCTCAATCTCTTCCTTCCTGTTTTTTCCTTTTTATTTTCCTTCTTTAATCCTTAAGACTCTGTTAAATTTTGCTGGAGAGACACAACTGTTGAGGTATGTTTGTTTAGTTGAAGCAAGGGAATGGAGAAATTAAATATGGAACTTGAAGGTATTTTTGATAAGAATGATGATGAAGGACAATTAATTCAAAAGGAAATTTAATCTAATATTTGAAGTCTGTGGTATTCAAATACCGTTGCATTTTTTAGAAGTACATGTACATGTAACTTTAAAAAAAGTTGTATACCAATCTCCTAGAACACTATTTTATCATTTTCTGTACTGTATTTACAATGGACTTCCACACTGTTTTTTAAAGCTCGTGCTAAAGTGATTTCTATGTTGTCCCACTCATTTTGATACTCCCATTAGTATTCTCATCCACTTTAGAAACATTTGGCTACATGTATCTTCATCATTCCACATGTACACTGTAATTAACCTTTGTGACAGTTATTACATGTTATTACCGCACTCACTCCCTCAAATCTACGCTTCATTTTACAGTGGGCATACAGTGATTTCTATGGGATTGCGCCGAACACGAAAGCTCAACTGAACAACGAATTCACCATCACCATCAAGAAAGGGGGTAAGAAAGGAGAAACAATGAGGTTCTCCACGGAACACAGGGCAGACATCATCACAGAAGCTCTGGTAAGCAAAGCAAGTCATTAATCTACGCGGTTCATGATTCTTTCTAGTCTAGCATACAGGTCTGCCAACCCCTAGGAATAATCCAGAATATTCTGATTTTCTGGATTTTTAGGACCTGAAAATTCAGAATACTCTGATTTTTCACATTTTTTTTGTTTGTATGTGTGTTTAAGCCAAATTAAGCTTGTTTTATCATGTGCCGCGATTTGAGATTTCATGTATTGCGTTCGTTGATCGGCTTTATGATCAAGCAGAGAATTTGTATTCGCTTTTTGGTACAGATTTACCATGTATTGCCACTTACACTGCCGCTGCAAGTGAGATTTCTTATTTTTGCTAAAAATTCCTAATTCTCGTTTTCAAATGTTGGCAGGTATGGTCTGTGTTTAAATCATGTGACATTAGGTGTGTGTAGGGCCTAGGAAGGAAGTAGATATTTACAGGTGCGTGCATGAGAGAGCAGATAAAAAATCTTCATCATCATCTTTCAAGATCCGTTTCACTTACGTTGTAGGGTTAGATGTTTCATGTTTTTGTATGGTCTTTCTCTATTAAAGCCTTCAGATCTTTAGCAGAACAGGAAAGATAAATTTGAAAAAAATAAGAAAATGTACATGTCCAAGAAGATGACTGGCTGCAAAAAAGAAGAAAATTTAAATAATGAGAGGTCTATAAGAGAGTGAACGTGAGAGAGAAAGAGAAAGAGGAAGAGGAAGAGATAGTGAAAGAAAAAGAGAGAGAGAGAGAGAGAGAGATAGGAGGCAGGTTGAGATACAAGAACAACTAATAAGTGAAACACAAGAAAAGAATATCAAAATAGAGAAAGATTTATATATATATATGTACATATATATGATAAAACTGAATCATTCATTTAAAAAGTACTTGACTAATTATGTCATGATATAACACTGACAATAGTATTTGCAATAAGCATTTACATTGAACATGCCATTGGAACCAAATAAGGGTCAGATATACAACTAAACAAAATAAAAAATTGTGGTTTAATAAAATATCTTATTCTGCTTTGATTCAAATGTCCAGAAATTCAGATCACAGTTTGGAGGTGGCAAGCAGGGAGTAGAACAAGTAAGTGTCCATATATCAAATTATGTTGTTTGTAAGTTATAGGTTAGTTATTTATACATTCTATCTTTTAAAGGTACCTTTAGCTGTGAATTACCTGCAAATCATTCAAATATTGGATATTTCATGTTAACCGTTCTGATGATCACAACTAACCCACATGCTTCAATTTAAACTCTTAATATTGTCATGAGTATTATGTATTTTCTGTGTTATAATACAAGTACATGTTGGTAGAAAGTTAAGTCCAAGATGATGAATATTGTACTTAAGTGTGTATTGATAATGATTTATTATTTCTGCAGGTACACATATTTGGATTTTATTTGTGATCTCTCTTTCATGGGTGATGATGCAATAATATCGAAAAAACAACTTACAAACTCTTTTCATGTTCCTTGACAGAGGTACAATGCATACAAGCACCACTGGAGTGACGCCAGAAGGTCTGTTGTTCTTGAGGTGACTCCATGTTCCATAGACCAGAAGGATCCTACGTCGGGAAGAGTCATCTGCTCCTACTACTACAAGGACATTGAGGGATTCACACAGGTGACGGGGTATCCAGGTGGCTTTGCCATTGCCCACGGGGGCTTCAGCAGATTGGTAAGTTTCTTACTTTGTGCAACACCTTATCTGGGGGGTGTTTCACAAAGACTAAGATCAACTTTAAGTTGGACTTAACTATGGCAGGCTGTTTATGCCACTGTTTGCTCTCACCATTTACTGGCATTGGTCTCTCAAGGGAAGTACAAATCGTGGTCACAAATCTACAGAATTTATCTTTTTTGATAGTTCATTATTGAAGGGACAAGTGTTATCTAAAGATCCTAATTGAGAGACCAATGGTAATAGCAACCAGTGGCATGAATGGTCTGCCATAGTTAAGTCCAACTTAAAGCAGATCTTAGTCTTTGTAAAACACCCCCTTGATCTGGCGACAACAATCACTCCTTGCTAACATTCTGCTGTGAACAGAATTCCAAACTTCATCAGTGATACCAATGCTATACCCTAACTTTATACCTAACCCAATGCTCAATCACAACATAAGCCCTAAGGCTATATCATCAAAGATACAAAGACTTGAATGCTTTTCGCTGGAGATATCTTGAACCATTCTTTCTTATATTCTGAAGCTAGTCACCTTGATTTGCTGAGATGCTTATGTTGTTCATGCATTTGTAAAAGTTGAAGTAGACACCTGCAAAGATGTATATATTGACAACGGCATGACGAGACCCTGCGATTCCATTGCCGATATACTTTTGTGTAAGGATGTAGTTAAAGTGTATCAAAATACTTATCACTGCATCACATTTGAATGAGTGTATATTAAAGGGGATATAGCTTGACAAGAATACGTGTTTTTCCCGTGGCCTGACTAGGGGCCAATCGGGTATTATACGACTACGGACGACGCGACCGCAGTATACACGTGTGTGCAACGTACGCAAAATCAAAGCGTGAGGAGAAGTTTGGTCTGTTTCGCGCCCTTTTGCGATTGCTAGCGCACTGACCCAGTTAATCAAGTCCATTTGTTTATGTGCAGTTGTCCGAAAGAGGTCCTAGATGGCATTAACCAGTATTTGCCATAGCACAGCCCCTTTTACTGAACCGTACTTATTCTTCCTCTGTGTTGCTCTATTATTTCAGCACCTCTTTGCCACAGAGCAGAAAGACCAGCTGATCAAGCAATCTACCGAATTTGCTGCCAATTACACAGGAGTCATCCTGAGAATACGCAAAGAGCCCATTTCACTCGAGCAGTTCACCAACAACAGACTCGGCAAATACAAGTAAGTGTGACATGGACCCTCAGAGAAATGTTAACAGAAGTGGAAACGGTCTGAAAATTATTCTTCAAACAGTTATAATACAACTCAACTACATGAACAAAACTGCGCTAAAAGTACCAAAGATGAAATAATTAGTGTGAAATTGCACTGAACTCCTATTTTACTCCAAGCCCAAAATGATATATATTTTCATATTTATATGTTATATTTGCGATATTGTGCTGATAGATATAGCATACCTGTCAGGCTAAGCTAATGCAATATGTGTACCAGATAACTACGTGTAGTCATCACATTGCCATTTACAGAATGAGATGTAGAGATCCTATACAATATTATTGGAACTAGATGATTAGATTTCTTCCAATTTACTTATTTTACCTGTAATTGTGGTGCAGGTCCTATGCAGACCTACATGTAGTTCTACAATGTAGGGAGACAAGAAAAGTGGTCTTTATAGGTGGGTGGTCCTATGTACAGGTTTCTTTAGTACATGTTTCAATGAGAAACCATTTCCAAGGGAAACAAAAAAAGGGTGGTCTTTGTACACAGGTGGTCACTAAAGCAGGTTTGACCGTAATTTAATTTCTTCTATTTTATGGATGTTCACTGTAATCGTGGTTTGGTTCTCTTTCTCGTAGTGGGGATGAGGCGCTGACATCACTAGCCGAGTTTGGGGTTCAGAAGTGGACACCACGACACAACGAGCCACAGAGAAGAGTGCTGTGTCTGACAGAGACGTGTATAGTAGAGAGAGATCCTGGTAGCTATAGTGTTATCACAGTCAAACCTCTATGTGATGTAAGTCAATGTTATCAAGGGGTCACTGACACAAAGACGTAACTCCATTTTTGCCATTTTGAGAAAAAGTGGTTTTTGTGTCACTTAGCACTTCGGCCTTAAGGACTGAAGTCTATGTTTCACTAGTCATTATCTCCAATGGGGTGTTGGTTGGAGTTATGTCTTGTGTTTCCTGGAAAACCCACATTTTTCTGAACATTTTGATATACTCATTTGGCAAAATATGGAGTTATGTCTTTGTGTCACAGAACCTTCGTTATGTGATTAATATTGTTGAATAGTGACTTGGGGGTTTTACGATGTGGAGGAAAGAGTCTAGAAATAAGGAGAATGAAAGAATATGTCGTTGCATGCTTGGCTGAAAGATGTGAGCTGGGGAAATATGTATCATTTCATGTTTTGGAATGGGAGTACCATTTGATGCCCTACTACCAGGTGCACATTATTTTAAAGTATCCAGGAAGAAATATTTGAAAAAGGACAAGACTACCAGCCATAATAGAGAGAGGAAGGGGAAATGCAAGAAAGGGGGTCCATGCAGTATGATACCCGCAGGATGATAAACAGTAATGTGTTGAAAGTCTGTCAGAAAAAGAAAAGTATGACAAACACATCTTTTTGTTCTAGCTAATTGTTTGTTTGTGTTTTTTCACTTTGTAGATATTTGCAATAATCCGTAGCCAAGACAACCCACAGATGTTCTTTCTAGAGTATGTCAAAGGTCAAGTTAGAAAATACACATCGACAGATAGGTAAGTTTGAAATTTCTTACATTAGCTTTCATATTTTGTCTTTCAAAATAATGTATTAATATGTATTTGTAGGAATAATTCTGTGTATATAATTATCAATAATTTAATTGTATACCTTCTTGTAATTTGTTTGATATCAAGGTATTGAAGGAGTCCTTGTAGGCAGTTTTGACTTGTATATATGAATGATAGAATATTAGAACATCACGCATACATGACCATGTAAAGGGAAAATATTTCTCCGTTTGGTTCCAATGTAGTTCCTTTGTAGTTTTATTTTAGTGCCAGTTCAGATTGAGAAAACTTTTTTTGTTAAAACCCCGAATATCGTAAATCTCTGTGTATAAGATGTGCCTTTTTCCCGACCTCTGCAATATAGTGGTCGCAAGCTATAAACACGAATACACGTCCGTACTTGATTTATTAGCTTCATTTAAACAAATTAAAACCCAGTCATTGTTCCAATGCATGCCCGACAGCAAAGTCTCTGTTTTTGTTCAGTGATTTTTTTTTCCTTCCAATTACATTAATTATTTGTGAATATTGTGATTTCTTTTGATTTTCCTATTTAAAAAAAACAACAACAAAAAATTAATCGTTTAACCAAAAAACGTCCAGTTTCGAACAGTGGTTAAACGAAAATTGAAATATCCTTGATGTTACAACTCTATATATGTCACTATCAAATGAATATATTTGTCTTCTTGTAAAAGCTGTTAAATATCTTGATCAATAACTAAATTTGTAACATGTATCTAAACTCCTTTCATGTGATTATAATACAAAGTATTGTTTTGTATTGTAATATTTCTATCATGTGAAATATGGAAACAATAAACTGATACTGAAACTGAAACTTGGTCACACTATGAAGAAGGAAAACAAATTGTTTTTCATGTTAACATGTTGGCATGAATTTATGGTGTTTTTTTCTCTCTTCCAGGAATAAAAAAGAAATGCATTCTCCTTGCCAACATTACCAATCATGCAATGTGATGTTACAAATTTGTTTTGTGAGAAATCATTGAAAGAAATGCCAAGAAAGTTATGATAGGTAATATATCATTTTATATACGGTAGGAATGGTCACATGATGTGACCCCTTTCAATATAGGCCTATGGATTTGTTTTGGTTCTAGGACAATTAACCCCTGTGGACAATTACCCCCCGACAGTTTGACAGGACAGTTTGATTTTTCTTTCATTTCATATGATCAGAGATAATTTAATAGCTGGAGTTCTAGATGGCGTCAGAGCGAGTGGCAACAGGGATGTATGCGTGAAGATGACCTTCACAGATAGAGGTCAAAGGCAGCAGCCCTTGTACGTGCCGGTCGACGAAGACGTCGAGAGCCACCATTTACGCTTCTTAGCAGTGCCATACAGTAAGTTATTAGGCAGATTTTAAACTGTATTTCATTACATTCACCCAAGCAAAACATAACATTTCACGCTACCGCATTAACGGACGGACATGGCGACTTTCTCAGATTCAGCATTCTGAAATTTATGGGTTGATAACACAGAATATCGGTTGAAATCATGTTATGATAAATATTCATATTTGCAAAAAGGGAGTATTAGTAACAATCTTGGAATCTTAATTAACATGTGAGTTTTCAATCACAACCATTACAAAATGTTTCCATTGAAACAGTAGAATTTTTGTGTTGCTGAATCGTGCCAAACTCTATTCATTTAAGAAGCACAAAAATCTTTGATATTTCAAGAAAATTTTGTAAAGTGTGGAGGAAATCAACTGCAACAGCTATTTATGCTTTCAATGTGCATGAAAATGCTCTGTAAATTGTGCATACTATATTTAACCGAGAGCTGAATTTAAATATGTTATTGGGTAATATATTTTCTTTCAGACAACAACTTTGATGAAGCAGTTATGAGGTTCAACAACAACATCTCATACAGCGGTCTTTTACATGCTGTAACTCAAGACGTAAGTAACAAAATATTGAAATACACATATAATTGTCATATCTGTGAAAGAAATAACATAAATATCATTATAAATCTCTATGTAGTGTGTTCAATGTCAACTTGATTAATAGTCACTTTCGTAAATTAATTTGAACTTTGTATATTATTATTTTAAACTGAGCAGATGTATTTGATTAGAAAGAAAGAAAAGAAACAGACATGATCATGGTATATTTGAAATACAACACCTGCAGTCATTTATTTGGATTGTCTATTTTCTTGCTGTAGGGTTTCTTTGCTGAGAACAAAGAAAAACTCATCAATGGTGCTTTGATGGCTCTTCTGGCCCATGAAGGTAAGTTTTAGAGATTGAGCGAGATTTTCTCTCACATCCTATGCTAAGATATTGAGCCAAAAGAATGTTAGCTCATATACTTTTACATAGAGAGTTGTTGCCCTTCAGGCGCTCAACATGTGATATGTAACAAGGGACCAAGTGATATATGATTAATGACAAGTCTGAAGGCTGCGGTGTCATCCAACTCGTTTTCAAACTTACAATCTCTTGGTTCCTTGATAAATATTGTATTCTCTGAGCTGCTGCTCCCTTTCTTATGGGTTTATAGTTCATTCGCCAAACTGTAGTGTTGAGATGAGGTTCAGAAGATAAAAATATGTGGCTCATATAACAAAATTTAAATATGCAATTGTTACGGATACCATCTGCATTTAGAATGTGGTTATGGTACGTTCAGAATACTACCTCCTAGTATGAAGGATGAGACTTTATTGTTACTGAGGTCTCAGGTAGCTCCTTACTTTCTATATTTTATCAGGTGACCCTATGACAATGCAAGCAGAGATCCTTGAAAGTCATATTCAGGCCCTGAGGAGATTGGTTGCATCCAAGGCCGGCTTTGGGGCATTCACCAAATTACCAAAGTGAGTATAACTATATAGTAATTGATGTGTCATGCACGTAATAGTTAGGGTGCGTTCAAGTGATTTAAAAAAAAAGCTAGAATCACAAATCAAAACGCTGTTTAATTACAAAAGACGGTTATTACCGGAGATCGTTTAAGCTATTTTCCATCAACGCTAATTCTTGCTCATTTCAAGCCCAGCCACTGCGCATCACACTGCGCAGTTTGACAAAGGAAGTATAGGTCAACTTCGGCGCTCGCTTTTTGAATTTGTTTACGGTTGATTGTCGACATAAACGGAAGCAGGCCACTATAATAATTTTTTAGCGTTTTGAAACACGTTTATTTTTACTACCAAAAACAACAACAAAATTGCTTGAACGCAACCGTGTTTTAAACTTAATGTCTTTGAAAACCGCATTTCTAGGGTAAAAAAGTGTCGCTTGGACGCACCCTAAAAGGAATAGAGTGTCGTCCTGTTTCCCCCTAGATGTATTATAGGAAAAGGGTCGTTAGTTTCCATGTGCAGAAGCTCATAATTCGCTGACACCAGACTTGGTTGGAAAACCATTAATGGATGTACAAGTCTGCACACAGCAAACCTGTAGTCCCATCAAGAAATACCCTGTATTCTCTTGTAGAGTCTTTGGGTGAGGGAAATGTAAGATACTGAATTTACCATATGGGGGAATGGGTGGAAAATGCAGAGCATTACATAAGGCCTGTTGTTCATAAGACTGAAGGCTTATTCCGGTGATTGGCAACACCTGTTATTGGGTAAACACCCAAATGGAGTTGAATACCCCCATATGCATCTTTACCCCATTGCTAAAGGGAACTGTGTGGTTCCTGTATTAAGCCTATTTAATAATATATTACATTTATAAAGTGCTTAATACAATGTTTCTAAGTGTTTAACAAAAATACATAAAATAATGTTAACCTACAAATTACAACAATATTATCCATGATACATAATTCTGATAACCGATTCCTAATAACAATCATACAATAATAGTAGTTAATATTTACATAACACGAAATATAGGATTACTTAAATATTGAGCAGATAAATCTTAAGTTTACTCTTGAAGGTTTCTAGCGTTGGGGACTCCCGTATTTCATATTTGGACACGATCCCTTGCCTATTGACAAGTTGTGTTGCATTATTTTTCTTCTCTAGGTTCCGTGAGAGAGTGGGCATCCGTGTAGTGAAGGCCTTGAAGAGGCAGGACGATGGTGTAACACATGCAGCAATAGACATGCTCTGTGCCCTCATGCAGGTATTTCACTGAATTGTCATCAGGCTTTAGGTTCAAAACCCTAAATAAACAATGCTAAACTTTCAGATTGTAATACCCTTTCTCACCGTCCAAAGCATGTCTAGAAATCAAGATGTGCCATGTAACAAATGATATGTGCAATATTTATATGTACAGTCTGGGCATAATGTAGGTGGGTAAATTGGCTTGGTACTCCCTGTACAAGGTTAAGAAGACCATCGGTATCAGGGAGTTTAATATCTAACGAGGTTATTTTACTTGCAAGGGAATGGAACATGCAATCTATGAACAACAACTTATTTGACTCATTCAAACTCTAGAAAATTGTCTTATGTTCATATTGCAAAGACAACTGTAACTTAACTTTTAATTTTCATTATGTTAATTTCATTTGCCTATATGTGTTTTTCTCTGATTTGCCTTATTTTTGCATGATTGTTTTTCTGATTTTGCTCACATGGCCCCATGGGAGACCAACATGTTGAATGGTTGATGCTGTTAATGAAAATAAATATAATAAATCCTTCTGTGGCTATTCTCATGCTGTATTACTCTTTGATTTCTATGAATTTTAAATCATCAAGTTTGATGAAATGCGTTACATGACCTTATGTAATTTTCTTGTCTGTTCGTGTTTGCTTTTTATCCTAGCCCATGCATGATGACTATGAGCTAAGAACAGAACAGCTCAACAAATCCTCTCTGCTTTCATCCAAGTCTTTCCTTGAGAGTCTCCTAGACCTGTTCGCCCAACATGTGGTAAGAAAACTGTCAATAAGTATGATTCTATTTTGCTTACAAATTACAGTTACCAGCTAAGATCCCATTATCCGTTTCTGATGACTCAGGTAAGCCTTTAAATTGTACGTGTTATGATTGAGCAGTACTGCTCACACTGTTATTTTGATAGAAAAGATATGGGGAGCAGTCAATAATAATGATGATAGTAATGATGATAATGTGATGTATGTAATGATGATAATGTGATGTATGTAATGTCTTTCTCTTAGGATAGAATAGTATGAAGTCCTGTATGCTCCACGCATATGTATTACTAGTTGCAAATATATATTACCGGTATGTACCATTTCTTAGCGTTTTTTAAAGTTGTGATTTATGAGTTCATATTCCTTTTCCAAACGAGTAATTCAAAGCATGGTAACAATTCAGATTTTTACTTCGGACAATTCCTTTTAAAATGCAGTTTCTTATTAAACAAACTAGATTTAATTTACCTTCTAAAGATGACAAAATGGCATGTAACTTTTCCCTCTCCTCTATTCATTCCTTTCACCCGACACTTCTGTTCTCTGGTCTTTTCTTCATCAGCTACGAGGCACAGGGGCACTGGTGATAGTCTCACTCCTAGACTTTCTGACGTTTGGTCTGTGTGCGCCGTACAGTGAGACGACAGATGGAACGCTATTTGATCAGCTCTTGGAGCTGGTAGCCAAGCAAGGCCGTGTCCTCTATAGACTATTCCAGGTAAGAATTGATTAAAAGGGGATCGTTGTTCTGTGTATAGTAGAGCCACACCCTATGTTTGTTAGCTGATTCTGTACCACCGAGTTTGTGAACAGTTATTGAATTAACGTTTTTGAGTCCTGTTAATTAAAATGCATTATTTTTCACTGTAAAAAATTGGTAATTAGTAACTTCCATTGTAATAAACTTCTCAGTAAAGGCACTTTTACTTGTTTTACACTTTTACATTGTTCGATTGTAAAACTGTTGGTAGAGGTTTGCCACCTATGGTACAGAAGGGCCGATGGTATTTCTATGTATGACCATGTGTTACTTCCATTATAATTGAAGCCATCTTTTATATATATATTACTACATGTATACAGTAGTATAAATCACTTTGCAATAAGTTTCAGTGATAGAGAGATTAATTTTGTTTCATTGACTTCCGCATATTTTTATTTTGACAGCATCCATCGATGACAGTGGTAAAAGGTGCAGGACTTGTGATGAAAGCCATCATTGAGGTCAGTTTATTTCCAAAGTCCATGAGAGTTATTTTAGCAATCCCTATAAGCCATATTGGGAAATGCATACAATTCTTAATCATCATGTTATCATTAGCTCAGATAAACTCCCCACTTGAAATGTACATTGTACAAATACACCCATGTACGTATGTAAATAATACATAATTTTGATGATGAATAGTGATCGAAATAGTTTGTCACCTCTAGTTTATCTATCACTTCACACTACAACATATTGAAGTGTTAGTATCTTGCTTTAATTATCACCAGAATCCAAAGAAAATGAACAAAAATTTTTGCTCTTTATCCAGATTCGCACATTGGATGAAAATTGCACTTGACTCAAGTGTGCAATCAGAAATAAATATATATATATGAGGAATCTGTTATTTATATTTAATTTATGTAATGTTAATGTTTCCTTATTATGTCGAAATTAAGTTTTTATTTCTAAATCATGTATTGTTGGATGTGGTTGGTCGCTTTGTGTAGGAGGGCGATGCAGAGATCGCTGCCAAGATGCAGGAGCTCGCGTTGGCAGAGGGAGCCCTACCCAAGCATCTCCACGTTGCTATGTTCACGGGGAGCACGGACACCCGCATGCTGACCAACAGACAGCTGAGCAGGCATCTGGTAGGTCTCTGGATCACGGGTAACCCAACGGCTATGGCACTACTCAAGAGAATCATGGTAAGTGGAATTTTTTGATTTAGTATGGAGCTGGGAATGGTGCCATGAAGAGACACCCTATGGCAAGGTCTGTCACCTGGAAAGCCAAGTTTTAGGCTTTTGCCAGATTTGAGACCCTGCCATGAATCTATTTCATGGCTTTTTAAGCCTTTCCAGGCTTGCATCTGTATTGTGGATCAAACGTATATGTGTCTGGAAAACTTTTAAGTGTTATTGCGTAAAACTAACTTTTATCCCTGTTCAGCAAGCTTGTTAAGAGCATGTTTGTTGTTGATCTTCTGTTTCATGACTGATGGTTCTTACCACATTTAGAAGCCACCCTCGTTTTAGAGGCAAAATGTTTCAGACATAACCTACACATCAAATTCTTAAAAGCAATGTAAATGGAGAAATGGAACCCAGAGTGCAGGTGAAGTGCTTACTGAAGTAACACCAACAGAACTGGATGATCACTTTACTTTTATTGTTTGTTTGTTTAATACAAAAATCAGTGGGGATCAAGAGCAGACAAACATTGTGAAACACTTCCTAACTGTTTGTATAAAATTGTTCTTGTATCCTAGCCTGCTGGTCTCCTGTTAGCCCTGGACTCTGAAGACAAGGTCCCTGAGAAGGAACGGGACATGATCAACATCAGGGACAACCTCAAGATGGCCCTGGACCAGTCAGGGCAGTCCAAGTCCAACCTTCAGTGGCACCAGATTGAGAATGTCCTGCTCCACTGGAGGCAGCGCATTGGCCTGCAGAACAAGAAGCAAACAACAAAGCAAGATGTGAGTGTGCTCCTGTCAATTCCTTGGTTGTGTAATAATAATAATAATAATAGCTAGTTCTTATAAAGCACTTTTTTAAAGACCGAAGTCCCTCTCAAAGCGCTTTACAGATATTATTACCCCAGTCATCATTCAGGCTTACCTGCACACAATGTATGCACATTCTCCACTCCCTTGGGAGCATTCCAGTAGAGCGTGATGTGTTCTGTAGCAGTGTGATCTTAGAATTGAGTGTGTCTTTTTCGTGTATATAGTTTAGTATTCAGATAATCATATTGAAGTGATATTCAATTGACAATGGAATTTTGAAAAAGTTCGATATAACTAAAGAAATATATTCAGAGAATTATGTGCACTAGATAATTTCTCTTTTGATGGATCATGTTATCAACCCCTAGGAGCTTGAAGAGATATTAGTAACTGTGTATACGTGCCAATCATGATATGATCTAATCAGTTTGGGATGATAGAATCAGGTGTCATTCTTTTTTAATTAGCTTAGCAACAGCAGAGTGTAGTTTGTATAGTTACTCACAGCATTGCTTGTCTGTAAACCGCCTTCGGGTGTTTTGGGCATGTCAATGATATTTCTTCATTCATTTACAAACAGGGTTAGCAGATATGTACCATGATCTATTGTTTTCCATGCCTTCCATATCAAAGCTACTTTTAATCCACAAACCATTTCATGCTTTTTTATAATTTTCTTTTTCATGTTTTTTCATTTAATTTATTGAAGTAAAAATGCATGTAATATCATGACAATTTTTGAAGTTGAAATGGGATGAGCAAAATTCAGTTACGTAAAAGAAGCATTTGAAAGGTTGAATTTACTTTCTACATGCCCTCTTATCAAAAGGTGCTTATGCCAACAAAATAATTGTGTTTGCTTGATCTAGCAACAACTGATGCATGCAAAATGTTTATTAACAAAAGGAAATCAATTGTAATGGAATGGCATAATGAAATGTCCTCAGCAAATGTGCTAAGATGAGAACCTGCATCCATTCGTTAAATGATTATGAAAATGATCAGCCAATGTGCCCACTTATATCAATCATTTAACTGAAAGGAAAGCCTTTCCATAAAACCATGTTTCCTATTCTTTCATTGATTTTGCAACCATGAAGCTCACAGAACTAAACCACTATGCTTTTTATATTTTTTAGTTTTAAAAGCACTTAAATACATGCATCATTTGCTTTGAAAATTACTAACTACTTACTATAAGAAATTTATGTTAATGACCTACAAAATCTGAAGCATTCAACAACAACAACAACAAAAAGGAAAAAAACAGAGGAAGAAAACAAATTTAGGGGAGGGGGTTCCCCTATATTCATTATTCATATTCAAGAATGCCTATGAACTTATTCTGCTCTCCTATTTTCTATCATAAAAAAAACATTGCTTTTCTCCAATTTTCTTTATCTTTTCTCCAATATTACTAATCTTCTGACTGTTTCTGACATTCATGCAAGCAGCCAAATATGGTAAGAAAATAGTGTCTTTTTGTCTTCTTCTGTGCATGCACTCATGTAGCTAAAACTGAACACTGTCTCATGAACAAGTCTTTAAATTTCTCCTTTTTGAGCTTACATTCAAAATATTTTGATGTTCTGTTTATGTACAGTTAAATTTTCTTGTGGATTGATTAGAAAATGTAAAATATATGACGGTTTTGTGTAACTGGACCCTAGATGTTACAACTCAATAACCAGGTGCAAAGGTCAACTAGCATATGATAATACAAAAAAAAAATGATTTGTACTTAAAGTTTTAAAAAATTGTTACAGGTATGTGTCCGCCCACCAAAGGTTGTCCCATGAGACATTAAAGGCCCATTGCCTTTCCTAAGTAGACATTTTAGTTGTAAAATGGTTTTTCCTTATCTTTAAGTATGACAGAGTGAAATGATCTACTACTACATCTATAATTTAGTAATACATTTGTAGATGGATGTACAACAAATTCATTGTGCCTTTCAGTTTTAGTTTAGATGTACATGTAGCTCTGTATTAAAGCAAGCTAACATGAATCAAATATTTAATTGAGAGCTATTTTTACATTTTTACGACCAGAAACCCATCGTACTGAGGAAGAGGAGGCAGAGGATAAAGAGTGAAGCAAACTGGCAACTCTTCTATTACCAGTAAGTACTTCAGTAGTACTCTTTATTACTTCTCCCGTTTTACACCTTAATCCAGCTTCCACTCCCTGTCCTGGTCTACGTATCTATTGTTTTCGTACCCATTAATTTCTGACATGTTTTAAATCTCTGAGTGCAATAAAACAATTTACTTATGAAATATAGTTCCCCTGCTCTTTAATATCAAGATTGTTAATTAATGCCTAAAAAGTACACAGAACTATATGTAATGCACTTACTATTTATTTTATTGATAGATTGATATGTCATCATTTTATTCATATTTATTCATTTTTATAGGTTCGGCAGAGATCATGCTCAACCCAATCTCATATGGAATTATAAGGTGAGTTCATATTTGAAAGTGTTCCCTGACTATAAAATGAAATGTGTTGTCATGTTGGTTGTCATTTGTAGACACTGATTTCAATTCATGATTGTCATTATGATACATGCATATTTTTGTCAAATAAGCTTCATAAAGAATGAATTTACTTGAATGAATGCTCTTACAATAGTGTACAGTGTATATTCTCTTAAGCAGAGCAAGAAATATTCCTTGAAAGAAATAAAACTGACATCATATTGAATATATTAAAAGGAGATAAAGGATACAAATTGAAAAGTTTAGTATTTGAGTCAAGACAAGAGGGAAGATTAACTTGAGATTTCCTATTCTTGAATATCAGTGGTGTATGTCTCACAAAAGATTTTTTGATTTTCCTTCCAATAATTCAGATTGCCTGTAAGTGGATGTATAATATGTTTTTCTGAGGCCAGGCCAATACTGGATATCTGAAAATGTTATATTGATTCACTGTTTTGATCTGATTACAGACAAGGGAAGAGCTAAGACAGTCTCTTGAAAACGAGATGCGAGCGTTCAGCGTGGACAAGGAGCTTGGGGCTAGTCACATGATCTCCTGGAACCACAATGAGTTTGAGGTGCACTACGTCTGCCTCTCAGAGGAGATCAAGATAGGAGACTACTACCTACGACTCCTGCTGGAAGCCGACGAGAGCGACGAGGAGATCACAGCAATCAAGGAATCGTAAGACAAATGTGGTGGTGATTTTTATGATGGTGGTTGTGAAGGTGATTATGATAATGATGGTGATGATGATGTTGGTGATGATGATAATTGATGGTGATGGCATTGGTGGTGTGGATCTTGATGGTGTTCATGATGATGGTGATTGTGATGTTGATGGTGAAGATGATGGTGATGATAATGGTTATGATGATGATGATGATGATGACAATGGTGATGATAATTATGATATCACTGGAAATGATATGAAAAGTTCATAATGATGGTTTGATCCAAGATGATAAATGAAATCTTGGGAATAAAAAATTTGCTTCTGATGATGATCGAGATCTTCTGAATTAATACAAGAAAAAATAATGAAAATAAATTCATGGAACAACAACAAAAGATGCCATTCCTTTCCAAACCATCCCAGGTACGAGTTCTTCAATGATCTATACCACCGGTTTCTTCTCACAACCAAGATCCCCATGAAGTGCATGTGTTTACAGGCCATGGCCATCGTTTATGGCAAATGTTATGAGGACATCGGAGCTTTCAACGACACCAAATATATTGTGCAGATGCTGGATAGGGTGTGTATTATTTATCAAACATTAAACTTTGAATTGTGTAATAACAAGATAACTCCTTGATATTTTGTAAGTTAAGGTGGCTGCCATTATAACATATGTGGACTCTCTTCCTTATACCTTCTATGGGGATGATCATTTTTCAGGCTAATTGTCTGATTTTAGGCCCTGACATCTCGTTTTGAGCTTTTATTTGTACACGTAATTTGGAGCTCTTAATGTAATGGGTCTCTCTTTAGGCTTTGTAGTTGAAACCATCCGGCATTCTTGATACTATTTTGGTTTTTGGTATCTTCAATTAGGCATACCTGCCAACCACCCCGATTTAGGCGGAGTTCCTCCGCTTTTTACATACCAACTCCGATTTCCGAGTGCTTGCCTCAAAACTCAGATTTTTTAAATAATTTTTTTATTTTTTTTTTTTTTTTTTTTTTTAAAGAGTGTAATGCACTTGGAGAGTATATAACTATTATGTTTGTATTTTGAAATGTAAAGCGCCTTGAGCATGTTCATGTAAAGGCGCTCAATTAATACCAATATGTATGTATGTATGTATAAGACTAAAGCATAACACAGCACTGATAACCAGATCACGCCGACATCCGCGCTCGCGCTCATAGAAGATGTACACAGCGCAGCCCGAACGTGATCGTTAGTTCCGCAGTCACCCCCTGTGTACCCCCCCCCCCAATCTACGGGCCACTACCCCAATCCTTCGGTGGTTCGCGACCTCGTAGTCCATCCAGAAAAATTTACTCCTAATTTCTCTTGTCTCAGGTTGGCAGGTATGAATTGGGTCTAATCCGGCATGTTAGAGGCAGTTGGACATGAAAGCTAAATTAGTTATAGAAGTTCATCAGTGTTCATGTGAAGATATTGTCCTAATGATTGGAAGACTTCTCAAACTTAAGTCAACTTAGTAACAAAGTTTTCATCACAGAAAATTTGCTTGTTGTTCAGACAGTCTTATTATCACATTTATATCTTACTTTAATCCTCTTACAGAGTACAGATAAGCAAGAGAGGGATCGCATCATTCTTTTCCTCAACCGTCTCTTGAACAACATTCGCAACGTCAGACTTCTCCTCGATGCAGGAGGCATCAAGGTTCTAGTTGACCTCTTGACCTTAGCTCATTTGCATGTCTCCAGGGCAACCGTACCAACACAGACCAACGTGATTGAGGCATCGCCAGATTCTATGGTTGCGCAAGAGAAGGAGTGGTACTACGGCAATGGCCCAAGGGAGAGGTTAGGACCCTACAGCTTCAGCGAGGTGAGATATTGTTTACTGTCGTAGCAGTGAGGATGATCAGGATGAGGAGGGAATGAATTGGGAGGAGAAGAGGAGGTAGAGGAGAAATCTTGATTGTATAATTTAATACAATTTCAATGAAAAGGAATGAATTGATTGTGACTGTGGGTAATGTATATTAGCTGACCAGTTAATCATTGAGGAGATTGATTAACCTAGGAGGAATTGATTTTGAGTGGTAAATGTGATACTTCACCAAAGTCTTCTAGTCCAATCTGAGGGACTTGGTAATGGTTGATCATTGTTTTATCTAAGGGCACTAGCGCATCAACTTGGGTTTACAATTTTGGACCTCTAGGTCACGAGACCAGTGTTCTCTCTATTAAACCCATCACGCCTCCACTTTTCATCCAGGATATTCCTTTAGACCGACAGCCCATGAGACCGACAACATGAATTTCCATTTTCAATAAAAACAATACAATGATAAGCATTTGTAATATATAAGAAATTGAAAATAGGGAACTCAGTCTCTTGAAACCTCAGATAACTTTCCAGAAGTCCTGTGAGACTGACATGTTGGTCCTGTGGGCTATCAGTCCAGCAGGCCATCTGTCCCATATGCAATGTATCAAGTGGGCTGTTGTCCTTGTAAGCTGTAGCCATTTTTCACCACCAACACTTCAAAGGGTATCTTTGTCTCAGATGCTGAAACAAAATTTTCCTGGGTTTAGCTCATGCTGCAACGATAACTATAAACCTTTAGGTCAGTCAGGAACCCCATAACTTTTACAAGCCGATCGTGTGTCTGATTATCAAGATATTTATGATTGGAAATCAAAATTTCATTTTTTGATAACACTAGTCTTTTGGGGAAAATGAGTATGGTAAAACTGGTCATTCAAAGATTTTAAATTTTTTTTGAGGCACTTTTTGATCATTTTGAAGTGCAATTTTTTTAGGGCTTCAATAATACACCATTACACAGACACTGATGACACGTAGGGCCATGCATCTTAGATTTAACATTGTTAAACAATGCCTTGAATATTAGTCAAAAGATATTATTTCATATGATTGGTAATAAGAGCTTCCATTTCCTTTTTTGAGAGGGGGGCGTTTCCAAAACTGGTCTTTACCTTGAACCCTTTTCCCATCCAGATGAAGGACTTGTGGGATGACGGCTCCCTGAATGCCAAGACGAGGTGCTGGGCCCAGGGACTGGAGGGTTGGAAACCACTCCACACCATCCCTCAACTCAAGTGGTGCCTCCTAGCAACGGGAACTCCCGTCATGAACGAGAGCGATCTAGCCACGCTGATTCTCAACATGCTCATAAAGATCTGTGACTACTTCCCAAGCAGGTAGGCAAGATTTAGTAATGTTCATGTGTTTCTTTTTCATTTTTAGGAGAGAAAAGAACAAGAAATGTCTGTCAACTACACATAAATTCAAACTTCCTTCCATTGTATATTCTCACTAACCATTGCGAATTCTATTGAATATTTCAACATACTTCATTTATATCTTCCTGTCTAAACTGGTATCAGTTTACATAATTAAAGGAGGGATACATTGGGGAAGAGAATTCCTTTTTCTAAATCTTATTTGTTCATTAATTAATTGGGGTATGTTTCTTCCTTGTTGGTTTATTTGAAATCTTGCAGGGATGTAGATGGTGCAATTATCAGGCCTCTGCCAAAGCCAAAGAGACTTCTATCAGAAGCAGTTAACTTGCCACACATCGTTCAGGTAAGATATATCTGTCGCCTCTTTATCTCTTGTTAATGTGTTCATGTTTCTGCATTGAATTAGAAAATATAGAAACACGGGTGAACCAAAGTTGAAGTGTAAGATAATCAAGTCAAGGGTGTACATTACACTGATGTAAAATTGCATGAGAAATATGGAATCTGCACAAGCAGGTATGGAATTTATTCAGATAGGAGTGAAGAATTACCCAGCATGTAAATTACAGGGTAGAAGAAATATACAACATATTTGAGGAATTACATGTACCCCATGGCCAAAATTTGAAAAAAGGAGGAATGTAATGTACAATTCCAGCCTTTTGCAGTGTTGCATTGATATTGTAGGTTCATAAGGTCAATACAAACCTGAATTAGCTCATTTCTGATACTTAAAAAAAAAAAAAAATGCAAACACAAAAGAGTTTCAATTTTCATGTTAAATATTGCAAGCTGGGATAAGGTTTTCTTCTACCTTAATGGTAATTTAGTGGGTATTAATTAGACATGCTTCACTGATATGTAGAACACAATAACTACAGTTTGAAATAAAGTGTTGGTGTTGCTCTATCCGTCTTTCCCTCTTAGCTTCTCTTGACCTTTGACCCGATCCTGGTCGAGAAGGTCTCCGTCCTGCTCTTCAACATCATCCAAGACAACCCTCAACTCCCTCGTTTGTACCTGAGCGGCGTCTTCTTCTTCATCATGATGTACACAGGAGCAAATGTTCTTCCACTTGCATGGTAAGAGGAATAGCTTCCAAAATGTAATAAATAACAATATTTATAAAGTGCAACATATCCATCTCAAGAGATGCTCAAGGCACATACAAATATTTTATATCAATATTCAACATACTTAAGATTAAAGAAATATTAAATTTTAACTTACATTAGATCCCACAACTTCATGGTGCCATGGTAGATAGCAGACATCAAAGTGTCCATTCTTACATACACAATATATTGTCTTGTAATAGAACCAGTTAGAACCAGTTAGAACCAAGTCACACTGCTCTGTTGTCTGTTTGACCTCATTGGTCTTACCTCATTGGTCTGACTGGGATGTAAGAGAAGTGGATACCTCCATATCATACACCAATTTAGAGTTTACTCTATTTTTATTGGAATGTTCTTTTTGTCCTATGAGTAAACATGATTTCATTCATCTATTGTTTGAAATAAAAATGTACAGGGGGAAATTAACAAAAGAGAAAGAATTAGAACGGAAACTGCATGACTGTAGACATTCAAAAAGGTTTGACATCTTTCTGCCATTCTATCATATTTTTTTCTTCTATTCAGGTTCCTGAAGTACGCACACATGAGACAAGCCTTCAGAGCTGAAGACGTAAGAAGAAGAAAAAAACACAGCAGATTTCAAATCATTTTAGATAATGTTTGATATTAACAAATGTACCATAGCAGTTCAGAGTTGTCTAAAGGTTTAAATGAATCAGCTTTTTCTCCTCAGATTGGTACCAATTATTTGTGTTTTCCACCATTCATAGTTTTAAAAAAAATAGAAATAGATATTAAATCAACCATTGTTAATACAAAAATTACCAAAAAAATGAACAAGAAATTTCTCTGCATGTTGCCAAGTTAGACACTTTACTGTTTATTTTTGATCAATTCTTCTTATTCATGAACAGCACATTGTACTGCAACAGAAAGGGACTCAAATTTTCCTGTAATTTTTGCATTTTCTGCTATTGTGTATTTTGTAATTTAGAACATTCTAGGTCAAAAGATGAAAATATAACATCACATCACTAAACGTAGACACCAATCTGCTATGGGTTAAAACCTATGTTTGTATATGGTTTTTTTTGGTCATGTTGACTATTTTGAATTATGTATTAAATGTTTGACTTTTAAAAGAATGAATATATATTTTAATCTTTCAGAACAAAGGTTCAGATATCATCCAGTGTAGTATCTTGGGACACATCCTCCCAGAAGCGATGGTACACTTCCTAGAGAACCACAGCGCTGAGAAGTTTGCTGAGACATACCTAGGAGAGTTTGATACACCAGAGGCCATCTGGAGCAATGAAATGAGGTAAGAAAAATTTTGGGAAAAGAGGGAGGGAGGAGAGAGGTGAGAGGAGGGGCGGATGGGAGAGAAGGAGGAGAGAGGGGTGTGTCAGATGGGAGGGAGGGAGGAGAGAGGGGTGTGTCAGATGGGAGGGAGGGAGGGAGGAGAGAGGGGTGTGTCAGATGGGAGGGAGGGAGGAGAGAGGGGTGTGGCAGATGGGAGGGAGGGAGGAGAGAGGGGTGTGTCAGATGGGAGGGAGGGAGGAGAGAGGGGTGTGTCAGATGGGAGGGAGGGAGGAGATAGGGGTGTGTCAGGTGGGAGGGAGGGAGGAGAGAGGGATGTGGCAGATGGGAGGGAGGAAGGAGAGAGGGGTGTGTCAGATGGGAGGGAGGGAGGAGAGAGGGGTGTGTCAGATGGGAGGGAGGGAGGGAGGAGAGAGGGGTGTGGCAGATGGGAGGGAGGGAGGAGAGATGGGTGTGTCAGGTGGGAGGGAGGGAGGAGAGAGGGGTGTGACAGATGGGAGGGAGGGAGGAGAGAGGGGTGTGTCAGGTGGGAGGGAAGGAGGAGAGAGGGGTGTGTCAGATGGGAGGGAGGGAGGGGATGGGTAAAGTTGAAGCAGCGGTACAATTTCTAGAGAAGTGTGTCGAGACATACCTAGGAGAGTTTGATACACCAGAGGCCATCTGGAGTGTTGATTAGAGGTAGGAGCAGTCACATGGAACGTCAGACAGATATGCAGAGTAGGTGAGAGTTCTGATTCTTGAACACTCAAAACCAGCTTTTTTCAGCTCTGAAAAACAAGAAGATATTATTCCATAAGAACATTGTAACTTTTCTAAAAAAGAATCCAAGGAAATGTATGGTTTAATGCAAAGTAACGTTTGCAGAGAGAAGTTTTAGAAGTAGTGGTATTGAAAACATTCTGTTTATTAGACTTGCGTTTCACAGAACCCAGTCCTGTTTTTATGCAGAAAGATAGATGCATTTTCATTGTGCGAAGTAAGAGTTTGATCTTTATATTATAAAAGAAGTGTTTCTTCAAAAATATGAGTAAGTATAATTAATGACCGGCCAAGGCCCTGACTTACAAAGAGTTGTGATTGATCTAAATCAATTCCAAGTCCTCCAATCAATCGCGACTTTGCAATCTCCTATCTTTTATGTACATAGTTGTGATTTATATCAACTCTTTGTAAGACGGGGCCCAAAAGTACATGTTGCTCCCTGATGGCGGCAAATATAACATTCTATTAAATCCAACCTGAAACCTGTATTTTTAACATGCAATCCATATAGGCGGATGATGATAGAGAAGCTTGCAGCTCATATAGCAGACTTCTCCCCCAGGCTACGCAGCAACAACCGCTCCCTCTACCAGTACTGTCCTATCCCCGTCGTCAACTACCCACAACTCGAGAAGGAACTCTTTGTCAATATCTACTATCTCAAACATCTCTGTGACACCACCAAGTTCCCTGACTGGCCGATCAGTGAACCAGTAAGTCACAACAAGAAATATTTTATATGGTGGGCTTACGGTTGCACCATGTGAGAGAGGGGGAGGAGAGGGGAGAAATATTTTGTTGCAGACTGTCCCATCATGGAAATTATAACGTACCAAGCTGCTCTAGAGAATATTTGACTTTTCTAAATTGACCAAATTTTTTGTTCCTCTTTAAAGAGTGTTTGTCATTGACTCATGTATATACAAACCACCATTTTATTTATCTTTTAAGAGATGTTTTTCTTTCATTTCCCTTGAGCTATTTACAGTTATAGCACAATTGCAAATATATTGCAAGAAATCAGTCTTAGGTTAATTCCGTAGCCGTGTATGTTACTTTTTAAAAATCTGTGATGTTGCTGGTACATAACATCAACATGATTTCTGTCGGCAACACAGTACGTTTTTGAGTTTGACTTTTTAATAGTTCATTTTTTTTAAGTCTATGTGATCATCATTTATTTACGTGCAGGTTTTATGAGAAGCATTAAGGGCATTTGATTCATACCCCTCAAAGTTGAATTCAATCCCTTCTGGTTCTCTCTAAATGATATGTGGTTCATGCAGACACTGTCATGAACTACCGTATATTCAGATTATTCAGATTCAGATTTAATTTTATCAGTCCATTTGAAAATTCATTTGTTGGCATTACATAAAGCACATGAACAATATACAATAGAAATAATATACACAAATAGATAATACACAGCAGAAAATTTACACTGACGTAGTAATGGAAACACGGATATAAACCGTTTTTACGCAGTGGAAAAATATAAGAAAATAAATGGACTTATAACAATATTGAAAATGTATGATTGAGTAGAATTCGATAATATTATTTTTATTATCTTTTATTATTATTATTATTCTTCTTCATTGAAGGCATTCAACATATAAATAGGTAGAACACCTGCTTTGTTTAAGGAGTTTCATATTGTTTCTGTTAATGTTAGGTGAAGCTATTGAAGGACATCTTGGAGGAATGGAAGAAGGAGGTTGAGAAGAAACCACCATCCATGTCGGTGGATGAAGCCTATGAGACTCTCAAACTATCCACAGGAACCGGAGGGTAAGAAATGAGCTCCTTGTGACATCTCTTTGTTTCAATCTTAAAGGCTGTCTGTACTAGTTTGGCTAGGAGGGATTACACCACCCAGGGAGGTCTCATCAACTCAGCTCTTAATTAACATGAGAAAAAGAGGATCATGGGGGACCAACAGGCACCGCTTAGGCATTGTTTTTTATATAGAGGGAGCAAGTAGCTACAAGTAGTGCAGTGGGGCTTTAACTCGTTTTCGTCGACACAAATGGTAGACCACCACTGTAAACTTTTTTTACAATGTATATGTACCATTACCATGTACTCCAAACATTATGACAGTCCTGGTTTTAATTCCTTAGCATAGAGTTGGATTTAATGTGATGCTTGTCTGTAAGCTTAATGCCTACCTACAGGGAAAGCTTATTCTACTTTTTGACCTTTCTTCGGGTCTTTTTTCTGTCTTTTGCCCTTGTATATTGCCATGCCCTTAACTTTAATTATTTTGTTTCTACCAAATTTAAAAAAGTCTGCATAATGGATTTTTGTAAGGGGAATTTTTGAAGTCAAGTCCTAAGATTGCACTGGAGGCAAACACAAAATGATGAAGGCTGTAAATTGTAGGTTAGGTTGCGTGGCAAAGGAAAGAGAGGAAGATAGAAAATTGCTAGAATACTTCCTAACTTTACTGAGTGTTAAAACCGTGATAATATTAATGAAGTCTTACAATATCAATAATGAATTTTCCTATGTTAATGCTTGAGAAATGAGGAGAATTCAGTTATCAATCAGTTCACAAATACCATGCTGCAATGATATATCATTTCATAGTTTGTTAACTTGTAATCCTATATTTTTTTTAAAACAGACATGAGGAGAGCGACATCAGGAAAGCCTACTTCAGATTAGCTCAGAAATACCATCCTGACAAGAACCCTGAAGGGAGGGTAAGTAAATAAAAGATTTGCAATTTAAGAAAAGCAGATTTAAATAAATCTTCTTGTGTACCTGAATGTTAGGTATCAGTGTTGGTTGATTTGTTGAAAATGTGTTATCATTTTCTTGATACTTGTACAAAGTTTACTTTGAGTCAAAATCCATAAATTGTTCTTAGATTTCCTTAATTTTAGGGGGTCTCTTTTCTTTGTTGGAATGAGATTTTTACTTCTTGGAATAGAAAATTGTTCTATATTTAATAGGGAAAGCACATTCTTTCCCTAACCACTCATTGATGTGAGTTGTAAAAAGGTGTCCATAAATAAATTGCTGTGCTACAATTATTATTATCAGTCTTACATGTAAAGAACTGTCCCCTTCACTCTGCTGGCGTTCAAAGCAAACCAAAGTGTCACAAAGTATATCGCCTTGCTGAAACTATATTGATGTTTTTACGTGATCTCAAGACCCTAATTAGCGTAGACAAATAATGTTGATGTTCTGAGAAAAATCTTTGTGTTTCATATTTATTGTATTCTCTCTCTCTCTCTCTCTCTAGGACATGTTTGAGCAAGTGAACAAGGCGTATGAATTCCTGTGCAGCAAGTCATCCCGTCTGACAGAAGGACCCAACCCAGACAACATCGTCCTCATCCTACGCGCTCAGAGCATTCTCTTTGAGAGATACAGGGAAGGTGTGTACAGAGTGGAATCAGTGGAAATGTTATTACTCAACATGCGTTTCATTGGAGTAATAATCAATGTTTTGAAACACATGGCCACTATAGACAGGTGGCAATTATAGAGAGGTGGCCACTAAGACAGGTTTGACTGTATTTGTATTAAGATTTTTAGAGCACCCCCCCCCCCCCCAACCCTATGTCTTTTGCAAACTAAAGCCAGTATCCAACAGAGCCCAGCATGTGTTTGATCACGCCATGCTTACCATTTGACAAATCGTTTTGTATCTTTTCTCAGTGCTGGAGCCATACAAGTATGCAGGCTACCCCATGTTGATCAAGACGATACAGATGGAGACCAACGACGATAGTCTCTTCTCCAAGGCGGCTCCGCTCCTGGTTGCAGCCAGCGAACTGGCCTTCTATACTGTGAACTGCTCGGCTCTGAATGCAGAGGAGCTCCGCAGGGAGCAAGGCATTGAGGTGAGAGAAAGGGAGGGACAGAGGGCTAGCGGTTGATTGAATTGGAGAAAGGAGATTTTATTAAAGAGTGTGAGAGAGAGAGAGAGAGAGAGAAAAGGGGGGGGGGGGACAAGAGATAGAAAAAGAGAACTTCACATTTAGGTATTAGATGTGAGATAGAAAGTTGCTTAGGGATTAAATGAGAGAAAGGGAGGAGGGATGGAGATAGAAAGAGAGGAACGGATATCATAATAGATGTAGCTAATTAAATATACTGTACATGTGTATAGACAAGCAGAAGGAGCAAGAGTGAGAGAGAGACGGGTGGGGAGGAAAAAAGACAGACAGACAGACAGACAGACAGACAGAGATATATAGAAAAAGCAAGAGAGCAAGAGGATAAGAGGTGGAGAGAGTGTGAAGACAGAAGGACATCAAAAGCAGGCAATCATTTTGCTCTCTATAAAAAATAGGAATAAATAATATTACAAACCTTGTGTAAGAAACTCTTCAATGCACTATAGAATTTATTCTTTTTTATCAATTCTCTATTTACAGACATTACAAGATGCTCTGACCCGATGTGCGGCTGTTCTCAGTGCGTCCAGTAAGGCAGATGACATGGCTGTGATGGTGAGTGTCGGTCTCAATTACCACAAAGAAACTCTGATGAGAGATCAATTTACACGTAGATCTACGATATATGCTGTGGTGACCATTGTTCTGTGATCAATTACTACAGCAACCAAATTCCATCGAATGCTCTACCTACATATTAAGCCTAACCTTTACAATAAACCTTTCCTTAAACCCAGTTGCAACTCTAACCCTATCCCCTAAATATTCATGTATGATTGAATAAAGCCTTAAAGAAATGTTACCCAAGTAAGGTCACCACTAATTTCAGTGACACCCAAACATGCTATAATATAAATGAAGAGAGATGTTCTATGTTGTTATTTTGCTGGTGGAATAGTTAGCTACTGTGAAACATGAGTTTGTAGTTAAACCTTACTTTATCTCCCACCTGACCTGTGTTTAGGTGTGTCAAAACGTGATCAAGTGTTACGCCGTTGCTGCCCAGTTTGAGGGATGTAGAGATCGCATCACCGAGATACCAGCCATTATCAAGGATGTATGCAGGGCTCTCTTCTACAAGGTGAGAATGTAGAACTTTCAGACAAAGTTGAGTATACTGGGGGTGTTTCACAAAGATCATAAGTTGAACTTATCTTTAAGTTGGACTCAGCAATTATGGAAAGCCGTTAGCATCTTTGAAAAATATTTTGGAAAATTTATTTTAAAAGGCATAAAATCTTGATTCAAATCATTCATATTTTCTATTCTCAAGGAAATTTCATGTTCTTGATGTGGAATTTATGAAAAATCTAATATATTGAGTTTTTGCTTTTGAATGGTTCTCCATACATTTTAAGTCCAACTCAGAGTTAAGTTTGAATATGATCTTTGTGAAACACCCCCCAGGTCATGCAATTACATTGTGAAAGAAGTGTCTGGAAACAATTGGGAGAGGTTGATTGCATAGTAGAACTGATGTAGAACCGATGTAGGTGTTCTGGAGTGATCAAAATGAAACAAAATTGATGCAATCTTGCTGAAAATCATATGGCGCTGCAGACAGAAATGAGTATTCAGTACTACATACAAATGAAAGTTTGGTCCAATCTTTAATTTGATGTTAGATATTCTAAGGGTGATAACGGCCTTTTGGGATGATGCTTCTGGTACTTCAATTATGTTATCTTGGATATAGCTGAGCCACTGATATGAAGAGCTCAAACATATTTGGGACCATTTACACCTGAGTAGAGGGTAGCAAATGTAGATTAATGCCTACCAAAGGACAGCAGTGTTGGGCAGTGACTCGACCCTCAACCTTTTTACTGAAAGTCAAGTGAATGAACCGCTATAGTAACTTCTGACATATGTACATATGTAGCACATTTTTCCACTGGTTACGAAGCATGTTGAAATGTCATCCCTGGATCAGCATTCAAATGAACATACTACAAATTACTAGTTATACCATATTACCTCATTCTTTGTTTCGTTTACGATTCTTAGAACCTGCCCATCCTGTGCTCCGTGGTGGCCGAGTGTGTGAGTGCCTTCTCCGTAGACAAGTATCTACAGGATCATCTCCAGCAGGCCGGAGTCATCTGGCATCTCCTCGTCTATCTCTTCCAGTATGACTTCACCCTCTTTGAGAGTGGGGTGGAGACAAGTGAAGGCACTAATCTTCAGGTAAGGAGAAGGAGAATGATGGTGGTATGGTGTTATTGGTGGTGGTAACGATGATGATTGTTGTGCGTTTGGGATGATAGTAGGGGGGGGGGGGGGGTATTGTAGAGGTAATTGTTTTGATATTGGTGTTGATGTTGATGGCAATGGTTGGTGTACTATAGCGGACGATTGCAGTAGTCGTGCTTCAGTAGCAGTGGTTATTGTGATGATGATGATGATGATGGTAATGAGGATGAGGTTAATGATGGTGATGATGATGATGATGGTGACGCTAATGAGGATGAGGTTGATGATGATTATGATGATGATGGTGATGAAGAGGATTGTGATAATGATGATGGTGATGATGATGATGAGGATGGCGATGACGACAACGATGTCGATGATGATGAAGATGATGGTAGTGATACTGATGCTGCGGCTGCTACTGATGGCAATTAAGACACTACACAAAAATAACAATAAAGCTGCTAGCATTACCATAAATACCATGCACCCGTTTTTGATAGGTCATAATTGTATTGTACATGTGTTGTATCTTACAGCAAGTGTCCAACACATTAGCCAGTCTGTGCTTCACAGCTTTAGCCAGGCTAGCTGGTTACCAGGAAGGAGACAAAGCTACCCCACTCAATCCAGCCATCCGTAAATCACTCAGCGCCTTACTCACACCGTACCTTGCAAACCAACTCGGAACAGAAAACCCCAACCAGGTAATTGTTTGGACTTTTATTATAAGTTTGATAAATTCATTTGCCCCCAAAGACGGTATGATAGATAGATAAATTACAACCATGTAATCTTGTTATTCACTATTTATGTCAGGGTACTATTACTTACAAGTTTTTCAAACTTCCTTTTTAGTCTCCACTTTCTTCATTCCAGTATTGTAAGATTATGATTGTTTCATGTTACTTTTGTACCATTATTTTATGGTTTTATGATTGAAAAAAATGAATTGAATTGAATTGAATTAAAAATTGAAAAAATGTAAGTTCTTTCATTCTCCCTTCCTCTGTTTAACCCTTCTCATTCCCTCCCCTTCCCCCTCAGGTGCTGAAAATCTTGAACAGTAACACAGAGAACCCTTACCTGCTTTGGGATAACTCCACCAGGATGGAGCTGGTCGAGTTTGTCAAGGAACAACAACAGAGCAAGATCAGGACCGTGAGTAGTATTGTTTGGTTGTTTCACAAGATGTTCTGTATTTTGCTTAAAGGGAGTGTAGTGGATCTTCAGTTTCCTTGTGCACAAGGCCATTTTTTGCTGACACCAGACTTGGTGAAAATACCATCAATGTGTGTACAAGTCTGCACACAGCAGACCTGTAGGCCCATCAAGAAATACCCCCAAGTCTCTTGGAAAGTATATGGTGAGGGAAAAGTGAGATAATGCTTTTACCTTATGGGGGAATGCGAGGCATTACTTAAGGCCTGTTAACTAGTCATACAACTGAAGGCTATTCCTGGTGATTGACAACACCTGTATTATTAAGTAAACACCAGACAGAGCGAATTCCCCATGAGAGCCCACTCCTATGCGTCTTTAAAAATTGAAGATGGTAAGAACTACCTCATTGTCATATACCTGTAGCTCCAATATGTTTTGAATTTCAAATGATTAGACTTTAAGTTCAGTGATTCCTGCTCTTGCCGGATTAATACATTCAGGACTGTAATGTGACTTGCTTTTCATGTCTCCAAATTAGCAAAAAATTCTTGCATTCAAGTTAAATAACTCAATCCATGTGTAGAAGTTTAAGAGTTTGTTGAGTCTATTACCACTCTGTGTACAGAAGAGAGATGGGAACCAAGTAGGATGTTGAAATCTATTCTTATCTGATTCTTCATACATCCATATGCCCCTGTTTAGTATCAAAATACACTTTAAATCTAAAGTTACTCATATTTGATCAAAATCTATTCTATTTTTTTTCAGGGAGACTGTGATCCTCTGTTTGGAGCTGACTTCACCTTCAGTGCTCATGCCAAAGAACTCATCGTTGGAGATATCTTCGTCCGCATCTTCAATGATATGCCAACATTCCCACTTCAGGTAGGTGACAATATACAGCATTCAGAGTGTAGACATTGTCTCACTGAGGAGTTATATGGTAGTGTTACTGAATGGGATTTGTTTCCTTACACTCAATGGATTTCCTTTCCTTTCTGTGTAGCCATAAGAGAGGGTAGGGGATCTGTAGTATCCAAAAATTATAGGGTTCTCAGAAAATCTCCACATTCAAATGTCCATGCTTTGAAAAATTATCTGCTATGTAATACATGTATGTACTGCATAACGTTATGAATCATTGACTTTTAAAATTTTAATTTTGAACTCTGCTGACCTTGTGCAACATTCTTTGTTAACCTGGTGTGAAACACATGTAAATATTCATCTAATTGCTCCTCTATAAAGAGTACAATTTTCTATGTTTTCCCAGCGTATGCTAACATTATTGAAAACATGAGTACAAATTTGTCTGACTAAAGGCTTTGAACTGCTTGCAATAGAACCTTAACTCACATGCAAATCCTCCTCCAATCTCCTCCTGCAGAATGCCATAGGGTTCACCAACAGCCTGCTGGACTTCCTGGGTTCCCAAGCCCAGTACCTCCACTCCCTGATGGCCCTCACGTCCAAGGAGGTGGACACCAGTCAGTCCAGCCAGCAGGCAGAGCGTCTCAAGAACTGTGAGATGGCTCTGGACGCCCTGGCCAAGGTCATCTTGAATAACTCGGGCACCGAGATTCAATGCAACGGTCACTACAAGCTGCTCTTCTCGCTGCTCAGGCTGACCGGTGCCACGCAGCTACAGCTTCTTGCTCTGGAGGTATTTACTCTCTTCTCATTCATTCTTTTTTTTTTCATTATGTATGAGAGAGTACATATATCCGTATATATCTATTTGACATATTTATACAGGATAAAAAAGAAACAATCAAATCAGCAAAGCTGTTTTTCATCGATGTCCTGTTGTCAAGATTAAACATTTCCAATTCTAACCAGTGGGATTCTTTTCATTACATCAATCAACAACAAAAATAAGGCTTTTAAGAAAGAATAATATAAGGAAAAATTCGTTTGAAAGATATGTTTAAAGTGCAATGTATATGTGTTTGAAATATGACTTAGAAAGATAGGCACAAATAAATTCTTTTATGATAATCACAAGGCCAATTTCACACTTCTATTTCATCTTATTTTGATGAAAGTACATGTAGTAACAACAAAAAAAGAGACAATGAGACTGCCTAGGAAATTTTTTAATGCAATCAAACTAAAGGAGATCAGGAAAAGAAAAGGAGATCAGAAGAGGAAGACACAGGGTGGGACTTATAGATGAAATCACAAATCAAACATTATCTCTATTTATCGTGGTCAGTGAAACATCATTTAGGTCGCAACCTGTTGGTTACGACTGGCACATCATTTAGGTCGCAACCTGTTGGTTACGACTGGCTCAATCAAACAAAACCCTTAGAATTGTCTGATTATTTTTGTTTAATGTTTAACTCTATGTATCTCTCACTTTTCCTTCCTTTTCCTTTCATCTTTTGCTTGCGCTTATAAACATTGTATTAAGCGCTTTATAAATATAATTTTTTATTATTATTGTTATTATTATTATTATTATTATTATTACATGTACTTTCTAATTCTGTTAATCAGGTGATCCGTAATGTGACTGGTAATCAGGATTGTGTGACCAATATAGGAGACTCAGGGGTTGCTGGATACCTCCTTCTCACCTTACACTCATTACCATCAGGTGAGAATCATTTATTTCTTGTACTACACTACTCCTTGAAAATCAACTTTGAAAAGAGAGTGGAGTGGGAAGGGAGGGAGGAAGAGGTGGGTTAGGGTGAGGGTGGGAAGTTATAGATGTATAGATTCATTGTATGCACTGAACACAGTCACAAAGTGCTACAAAGTCTTGCAAAAGATAAATTTTAGGGTAATTTAAATCGTTGAAAGTTTGTTCCGTATTCTAGCTTGCTCCTAAAGTTTACTTACCTCGGCCCTTTAAAGTGACTCAGTAACATTGCCTCAGATTCTGAAACAAATCCTGGATTTAGCTCATGCTGCAATCATAATTATAAAACTTGAGGTCAGTCAGGAATCCCATGAATTTTACAAGCCTATCGGCTGTCTGATTGTCAAGATAGCTATGATTGGAAATCGAAATTGCATCTTTTGTTTTCCTAACGGTTTTTATAACACTACAGTCTATTGGGGAAATGAGTATGGTAAAACCGGTCACTCAAAGATTTTTACTTTTTTGAGGCACTACATTATGATCATTTTGAAGCTCAATTTTTATTTGGGGCTTTAATATTACACCATATCACAGACACTGATAACACGTAGGGCCATGCATCTCAGATTTAACCTTGTTAAACGATGCCTTTAATCATGTTGGTTGATGTTGTTTCATCCATGTCTTTTCAGGTTGTTTGTCAGTACTGGAGACACTCTTCGCCTTGGTTTCTCATACAAAGATTGTGAAAGAAATTGTGTCCAAGGGTGAGTATTTGTGTGGCATGGAGAAATAATATTAAAGTCCCTCTGCACAAGTTTGGCATGGCGAGATTAGACCTCCCTGCAAAGTCACTGGCAGGTGGTTATCTCATCAAATCAGCTCTCAATTAACATAAGAAAAAGGGCTTCATGGGGGATCAACGGGTACCGCTTAGGAATTGTTGGCTGTATAGAGGACGCAAGTAGCTATAAGTAGTGCAGTGGGGCCTTAAATGAATTTTACAGCAACGCAATAATCCAAATTGGCAAGTTTTAATTTGAATTGAAACATATTCATACAAGTATGTTTATGAATGGTTGTGCGATTTGTAATAACTTTTGATAGAATTAAAGCACAATTTATTTTACCCTACTGAATGGATGTTAACCCATTAGCAACTAGATATTTTGTAAAAAATGGCCTATTACTGACTGGAAGATGTTGCAATATTACTCTCATTTTACATTTTTCTGAACAATATGAAACATGCGCTATTTTCCTAGGCAGTTCAATGAGTGAAAGGAGGGGTGGTTTAGTTATTGGGTTAAAGAGCATTTAAATTTGATTCCTGTGTGGGCTGTACAATCATTCAAACTTCTGGGAGGAGGACCTAGCAAGTTTGACCCAACAACTCCAATCCCCTTTCCCCTCTTCCTTCCATCCCTTTCACACCCAGGTGGTCTGATCTATCTCCTTGACCTCTTCTGCAACTCCATCAACCCCACCGTCAGAGAGAAGACGGCCGAGCTCCTGGCCAAGATGCAGTCCGACAAGCTGGTCGGTCCCCGCATCCGCATCCTCTGCTGCAAGTTCCTCCCGACGGCTTTCATGGATGCCATGAGGGACTCTGCAGAGGCCAGCGTCGTCATGTTTGAGAGTGAGTAGGGCGGAGATTCAAATCTCATGAAAACATAGCTTTTTTAGTATGAATGTTTGAAGTCATTCCTTAGATCGATTAGTGTCAATTCGATTTTTGAGATGAGGTTCTTTTCTGTAATACTCAATTTTAATGTGCATCCTTCAAAACTATATATATGGAAATAACCCATATTTTTTCTTTACAACTGCAAGCCCCATGATTATTTGAAGAAATGCATGTTTGGGGCTTTTGATAAGCTATAAAAAGAAAAATGGAGCGACTTAAAAAAAAAATTAAAATGAAATAAATAAGTATATGCGATAAGAAGAGAAAATGGAACTGAGGGGAAAATGACTGAAAGGGTAGTTGAATGAAACCAGAAGTTATGTTTCACATTTTATTGTCTTTTTAGGTGTGCAAGAGAATCCAGAGTTGATTTGGAATGAGGAATCGAGAGAGAAGATCTCAAACCTTATTGTCAAGATGAAGAACAGGTAAAGAAAAAAACATTCTCATAGTACTTGTGATGATTAAAAGGTGTGTTCAAATGGTTAAGAGCACCCAGGGCCCCATTTCACAAAGAGTTGCAAATGATCCAAATCAATCGTAAGTCCTCCAATCAATCGCAAGTTTGCAGTCTCCTATCAACATAGTCGCAATTGATATAAAGTACGTTGCGATTGATTGAACTCTTTGTATGACAGGGCCCAGATGTGATTTGAAATGACATGTCAAAAGAATTCATCTCATATGTTATTCTTGATATAAATAATTGGAGAGGTAAGATCTTCTTGCATATAAATTATTTTTAAATGTGGGGAGTCTCTCTTCAACTTTGTGATCAGAGGTCAAGTTTTACAGGTCAATCTGGGAAAGTATAAAGAATTCCAGGTATGATTAACCCAAGTTGAAATTGAAAATCTTTCACCATTCATGTTCAAGGCTTCCAATAATGTTTGATTCTTTCTCTTTTCTCTTCTTCTAGGCATTACAAAGAGCAGAAGGACAATCCAGATGTCACGTGGAAGGTAAGAAATAATATTAGAGGTGGCTTAGTCGAGTGGTTTAAAGCTTTGACTTGAAATGCAAAGGTCCTCGTGGGTTTGATCACTGACATGGCATTAATGTACTTTGGCAAGGCATTTATCTACATTTGCCAGGATAGAAATTGGGACCTAGTAGGATGACGAAAGCATTTTTGTTACTAATTGCCATATACCCTAATGGTGACTATATGGTAGGAATTCTCCCCAGGGAGTGGAGGTGGTGCTCACTCCGTTAATGCATTCAATGACTGGGGTAGTATTATCTGTAAAGCACTTAAGAGATGGAATTTCCTATTAAGCGCTATATAAATCCAGTTTATTATTATTTGTCTAGGCTCCATAGTGCAACTATATTGAACATGTAGGTTCACTAGCTCTCACAAGTATCATTCATATAGTTCTACGTACAAACCAACTTGAAATCCAACTTGTACCTCTTACTTTAAATATAATTACAATTGAGGCAGTTTCAGAGTTAATAGTGCACTTTCTGATGATAAGGAGGTTATGAATTGGAAATCATGCTTTGATTGGTTTTTGTTTGATAGTTTCTTGTCATTATAGTATTGACCATCAGCATACTTGTTCTAATCAGTCGCACTATTTTGAGATATTGGAGGCAGGCTGTTTGAATGTAAAGAAAAGGAGGACTGATCAATCTCGCTTTGGCTTTGACACTGATTGATTATGATAATCATTAGACATGAAGGTCGTGTAAGATGCCAATATCATCTTAAAGGCCCACTGTACTACTTGTAGCTACTTTTGAACCCTCTGTTTAGAAAACAATGCCTAAATGGTGACCATTGGTCCCCCATGATCCTCTTTTTCTTATGTTAATTGAGAGCTGATTTGATGAGATAGCCACCTGTTAGTGACCTATCTGGGTGGTCTAATCCCTCCTAGCAAAACTAGTACAGATGGGCTTTAATAATCGTTTCTTTGACTTTGATTATTTTGCAGCTACCGGAAGACTTCTCCATCTCAAGCCAGATCACTGATGAGGTTGTCATCGGCGGTGTCTTCCTTCGTCTCTTCATTGCTCAACCATCTTGGGTTCTCAGGAAACCCAAGGAATTCCTGGTGGAACTCCTGGAGAAGTTCACCGAGTTGGTCGGCATGGCCAGCCCCAAAGTAAGCAAAGAACTTTTTTTTTAGGTGATATAACTTGTTAATTTTTCTTGGTCCATTTTGAGGTAAAATAAACAAATATGCTTTGTGAATGATCCATTCACCGCCCAGCCTGTCCTGGCAGACCAGTTGCTTGACCTTGGTCATCTACCCCTGCCCTCCCTTAGCTGTGCCACTGCAGTATATCTTCATTACCTGTCATTACCTTGACCTTTGTTATTATTTTGACCTGTGACCGCCCAGAGCGATACTTTGGAAATGGTGACCACTGGTGTGGTGTGTTTCTTCGCCGCCCAGCCTGTCATGGCAGACCAGTTGCTTGAGCCTAGTCATCAACCTCCCCCCCCCCCTTCCCCCCTTAGCTGTGCCACTGCATTATATCTTCGTGTAATGTCATTACCTTGACCTCTGTCATTATTTTGACCTTTGACCCTCAGAGCGATACTTTGGAGATGGTGACGACTGGTGTAGTGTGTTTCTTCACCGCCCAGCCTGTCATGGCAGATCAGATGCCTCAGCTCGGTCATCTGCCCGTCATCACTAAATGTCTCAAGAGTAAGAATGAGGCCATTCCAAAGAGTGGTCTGATGGTGCTTCACAGCATATCAAACAGCGATGTGAGTATACTATAGAGACATGAATATAAAGAATTGTATAGATGGACTGATAGTTGAATAGATAGATAGATAGATAAATGAAGGATACAGAGATAGATGAAAGATGGATGGATGGGTGAATCAGTTGAGAGATAGTTGAATAAATGGATAACTAGATAAATATATAGATAGGTAGATGGATAGATAGAAAGATAGATAGATAAATGAAATATACATAGATAGATGAAAGATAGATGGATGAATGGATAGATGGGTGGATAGATGGAGAGATATATAAAAAGATAAATGAATAGGTAGACAGATATGCATAGATAGATAGATGGAGAGTCTGATAGCTAGCACATCATTAAACGATGTGAGTGTAGGGACATGGAAAGAGACATAAATAGCTGGGTCAGTAAACAGTTATATGCATGATAGATAGATAGATAGATAGATGAATAATTGACATATATATGTTGCCAGTTAAAATATAGAAACACAAATGACTGCATACTACTACTAAACTATCTTCAGGGATTACTTATTGAGCTAAAACTTAGCTACATTTACAGCAAACCATTAGATATTTTAATTTAAGATTTCATAAAAGTAGAAACATGGTAAAAGTTGGGATACAGAGAGAAATAGAAAGCTAGATAGGACGAGAATATGAAAGAGATCAATAGATACATGTATGCAAAGAGGGTTAGGAAAAAACTTAACAGATATAGGTAGTAAGTGGTTGAAGGGAGGGGGAAATGGAATGGTCAGGAAAGAGGAGATTTCATTAATTATTCTAGTGACTCTAAAGATGTTATTCTAATTTGTTATGCTAATCTGTAATATTTGAATTTATTCTACTTTTAGAACTGCGTGCGTAGCCTTGCTCAGATCGACTGTGTAGGCCCCATCCTGGCAGCCATGAAGCTTAGAACAGATACCACTGCCCTGGCCTGTGAACTGCTGCATAAGATGTTCCAGAAGAATCATCCTGAACTCGTGGAACAGGTGAGGACTGCTCTCTCCCTCGAATAGGGCTTCTTTTTGTCGTAAATGTCTTGGAGTTAAAGAGATGTTTAATTGTTGTTTCTAGAGGGAAATGATTAAACTAACCATTCGTTTGTAGAGCACTTACAATATGCATCGTATCTTGAATGTTTTTTTTAATAATCTGAATTGGAAAATAATGTGGATTGTACCTAGTAATCTGGGATGATTTAATTTCAAAACCTCTGCCGTAACACCTCACTTGCACTGCTAAATTGACTCAAACCAACATCCGACAAAATCTAGCTATTTGTGATAATGCAATTCTGTGTTCAGTTTATGGTTGGTCTGTTGTTGGTCTCCATGGTGACTGGTGTATGACCACTAAATTATTGTATATATGAATAGTTTTTAAAACCTTCAAAAGCTTTCTGAAATGTCTCTGTGATCAGTCAGAATACAATATAATTTGCAGAGTTGACAATACTTATATAATATTGGATGGCCTTGAGTGTGATACAAGAATATATTGTTCGAGCTATGACAATATTGGATGAGTTGAAGAAGAGTCTAATATATCTTAGCGAGAGAAATATATTCTTGTATCGCACAAAAGCAAAGCCATACAATACTATTATCTTTGTAAGTCTGACTAGCGAAATAACAAAATTTGTCTTACCTCGGTAAATATGGCTTTGTTTTCATGTGATATCAATATTGATAGTTGAAGTTCCGGATGACTGAGCAATACAAAAACAGTATTGGTCAGTCATCCGGGTTCTGTGCTAATTATATTGAATACACTGATTTATTGTACCACTTGGAAGCCTTATATAGATAATACTTGTATATCTTTTGACCTTATCCTCCAGGCATTGAGCTGTGGTCTGGTACCGTACCTACTGAGCCTTCTGGAAGACAACCTGAACCACATAGAGAATGCTGCAGCTACCAAGGCCCAGATCGTCAAGTCTCTCAAGTCAATGGCCCTGAGCTTGGAACATGGAGAGAGGGTAAGCAGGATGGATGTGGTGGTGGTGGTGGTAATGATTGTGGTGATGGTGACAATGACGGTAATAGTGATGATGATTATGACGATGATGATAGGTCCTAATGATGGTGGTAAAGATGATTATAAAGAGGATGACGATGATGATGATGATGATGATAATCATGATCATGATGGCGATGGTGGTGATAAGATGATGATGATGACGCTGACGGCGACGACGACGATAATGACGATGATGATGATGATGATAATGATGATGATGATGATGATGATGATGTTGATGATGATGATGATGATGATGTTGATGATGATGATGATGATGATGATGATAATGATGATGATGATGATGATGTTGATGACGATGATGATGACAACGAAGAGGATGATCATGATGATGATGAGTAACACAAGGTTGGTGAAAATGCTTTGATTAAACCTAACACATGTATAAAATAGTAAGTAAACAAGTTATATAAGTTGAAAAAAAAAAAAAAAAACCTGTTAGTAGCATCTATAAAATTACCATCTACAATGTCATTAGAAATGTTCACAATCAATCAAGAGGAATGGTGATGTGGTTGTCTTTCAGGTGAACACACTACTGGAGAAGTCATCAGTCTGGGCTACATACAAGGAACAAAGGCATGATCTGTTCTTGAGTGACAGCCAAGTATCTGGCTACCTAACAGGTAAGATGGTGCTATATCAGGGTACTACTCTTCTGATTCACATATTGACCTCAACTCTTATAGAATGTCATAGATCTGTATATCAATACTAAGAGGGAAAAGGATTATTTTGTCAGTAGGAAGCAGGAATAAAATGTAACAGAAGCTTCTCAAGAAGGCTGATTGGGCTCAGATTCTGTAGTGTGCAAAGTGATGAAATAATGAAATGTATCACAGACGTACATGTACATCTGTCTCACAATAATAACAACAGAAAAGATAGTAAGATAAACAAGTGGTTTGAATTAGTAAATTGCAACATCTGTTTAAGTGCTTCATGTTCCTATACATTGTATAAAGTTCTTGCGTCTAAAAAAAACCCCAAGACCATTATTTATTAAATAAATCTGTAAGGAAAAAAAAATTTGAACTTTCAAATTTACATTCAAATTTGCATAATGAACATTAAGAGTTTCTCCATAATTCTTCAATTTGATTAACTATTTAAAAAGGGAAGTGCAGAAATTTCCAATGATATATTTGAAATTTTGGAAAAGCAAATTTGAACATCGACGCTCTCTTCTTTGTTTCATTGTCTTTCGTACAGGTCCGGGTGTGGCGGGTTACCTGACACAAGGAACAACATCCACTGTTTCAACCGCCCCACCCCCCGTCGATACCACCCATGACAACCAGGTAAAGTAGGATACCGGTATCAAAGGGGCACAGACGGATCAGGGCGTGGTCTAGAGGGTGAGAGATGAAGTGGTGTTGGTCATGTGATAGGGGGTTACGAATGTCAATGCAGAGTGGAGATACTGTATATCCTCTTTCTTGTCCTTTCTACTAGGAAGTAATTGATTTTTAGAAGTGAGAAATGATAACATTCTTTCCTTCATTGTACAGAGCCAAGTACATGAGAGCGAGCCGAGATGGTCGTTAACAACGGTGATTATTTTAAGTATCATACAGCATTCAATACTCATGATGTCGGAAGTAAAAGAATCAATGTAATGTTGCAAAGTGGAAAGGCATTGAGGGTGTGCTCGACCATGCTCCATGCTACTTTTCAATTATGAAACAGACATATAGAGCACAGCCTCTTTTCAGGATTTTTCCTGATGACACGATCATTGTCTCCATGATGTGAGCCACATGTCCCTGTATAAAAGCATGGAGAAGATCGAAAATTAAGAATTCAGAAAGGATTGAATATGAATAATCGTAACTTTGGGACAAAAAGGGCGCTAAGTCAGTAGCAAATTCATAGATGTAGTGTTGCTGCCATCTGCAATCTAATGTTTTTGTAAAACTAAGATAATTTTGTTATGCTTTAGATGTATTTATGTACTCATTTTGAACAAAACATCAATAACAGAACCAACTGATTCTTTAATATTTACATTAAATAATATTTAGATATCAATATATAGCTCTTGTCGTATAAAACAAGAAAGATTGCTATATCGAAGGGAAAGCCTTACCCTCATCTTGTACTCTTTAATTCTTCAAACTTTTAATTCTTCAAACCCAGCTTGTTAAATGAACAAAGTTCATCACCAATGGCTTGGGATGAATATATTATGCCTTGAAATATCATATTCATTTTCACATTCCTGGATGGTTCAATGTATGTGTGTTTGTTCTATTGTAGCTAACAATTGTGTACTATTGATAATTCATAACTAAATTAGCTCTTCTTTAGCGTACTGCTACTAATTTGCTACACTGATACTGACTTTTTCTCATCAGAAAATCCTATTTTATATTATTAATAATTTACTTCTGGATATTTTGATGGCTCTTCTATACCTATTGCTCTGCATTTTTTCTGATGATATTGACTTTTTCTAATGAGAACATTTACCATGTGCAGTATCAATGAATTTTTTCAGAATTAGAGTTAACTCTTCTTTGCGTACTGCTCTCAGTTTTTCTGACAATCTTGACTTTTTATAAGTAGAAAATGGCAAAACTAATTTTAGTGTCTTGATTTTTCTTTTTCGTGTCTTGATTATGTTTGCATTCTTCATGTGAGGAAACAATTAGAAACACAGAATTCCACTTGTTCAGCTTGGTATATTACAGTGCAATTTTGTGATTAAGGAGCTTTGTCAATGCATTGTTGATTATCTTTTATTTCCTAATCATGGTTCAACAATTCTTAAGGATTTAGTCTTGAATTGTGTTGATGAATAATCAGACTCCCCAATTTTTATTTGAAATGCAGGTATAAGTTCACACAGAGAACAGAGCATTTATTTGCAGAAAGGACTTATGTATAACTAATGAGTCCTTTGAAAAAAGGCCAAGTAATATGTGAGAGATAACAGGTTTAAATGTGATGACATTCATTCATCTTCGTACATTTTGGACAGAGGTGCCAATATGATTATTTAATGGAGAACATGTCTTGTTGTACTCTCAAGATTAAGAGTGAGATGTGGTAATTCAGCTTTCACATTAATACCAAGAGGTTGTACACTTTTCTATTTTCACACTAAGACAAATATTTCATTTTCTATTTCTTCATGGGACACAATTTGCATTATCATACTTTCCATGAGTAAATATGCAGTAAATATGCAGTAAATATGCAGTAAATATACTCCATAATCCTTTCAGTAAGAGATGCTTTATTTTTTCAGGCCAAACAAAATATACTGTTATGTACATAGAAGTTCTTGTATGAAAGAAAATAAATTCAAAGCTGTATGGGGAAAAAAGAAGCATATATGTAAATGCTTAATGATGGTAGATATGAGTGTCCAGCATTTTTAAAGGCATTACAGTTATTTTTTATTTTACTTTTGTTATTTGTGATTTCATAACAGTCATCTCATTCCATGTGTTAAAAGTAAAAAATGTTTTAAGCCATTACTTCAGTGTACTGTATATTAAGTTAATTCAGCCTTATATAATGTTGCTATGGCCAACCCTTCATCACAGTTTAAAGAATACCTATGGGAAACAGAATCATATTTCTTAACAATTTTCTACAGACACATATCATCCTACACTTACATGTATGAACATTCAGATGACTTTTTGTCATTTTTTTAATTATCAGAAGTAGGCAAAATCTTCTTCTACCTTTTGCAACTCGATGCAAGTTAATTATTAAAGTAGTACTTCCCATGCAGAAGTCATAGAGAAACTACCAAAGAGGTCCAAAGAGGTTATATGAGAGCCATAGTTAATTATAGTGTCACAAGGCCATAGTTACCCCTCTCCCTCTCTCTCTGTCTCTTATTGTACATGAATGTATACATGAATGTATACATGTACAGGTTTATATAACAGGATAATCAAAAGACAGTGTAAGATGATGCAAGTTTATGTACATGTACCAGGACGCAGGGTTTCCAGCATCTTGGGTGCTAGATTTGGATAGGACTCATTTTAACCCTTCACTGTCCTTGGTCGACTAATAAAACGACCAGTGGACTGCCACAGGCAACTTTTGTCACACATACAGTGTACATGGATGTGTGTATCTACTGCAAACAATGTTGCAGTCTTAGGTTTTGATCCATGCTGGGTAAAGAAGTAATCGCATACAGTCAAACCTGTCTGTTAAGGTCACCAAAGGAAAAGGGAGACAGTGGCCTTTCTTTACAGGTTCTGCAGCACGCATTTCTCTCCCCCATGGGAAACAAAATGCATGGCCACTCTAGAGAGGTGGCAACTAAGATAGGTTTGACGGTACAAATATGCAAGTTGCCTAATTTGCCAGGAAGGTGTAAACGATGATGTCATTTCATCCCTATACATATATACATGTATATATTTTCTAAATTTTATTTTCATTATTTGATTTGTTGCTGCTTAGAAGTGGCTTTGAATCTTGTGCCTATTTATGTTTCTGTATTATCATTTAAGGTACTATTATATACTACCTATTGTATCTTTGCCATATACTTTAAATCATGATCATGCTCTGTGTATTATGTGATATACACTTTATAAAAATAGAATGTACATGTAATGATTATGTTCTTTCTATTACTATTGAATCAAAGTATGATTGCCTTTTTTTCCTTTCTTCAAATCGTTTTCCTTTGCAATGACTTTATTATGAAAGATCTGTTTAAAAAAATGTAACCTACATCAAATAGAATTATCAAGAAGATGTGGAAGGAAAAAACATGGGAGGATAAAGGCGTGGCTTGTAAATGCGTGACAATTAGTAGAAATTCCAATGAAGAGGACAAAGATTTAAAGTCTAAAGGAATGTCATTTGGTGGGTAACTGCTCGTTTGATAGGTTTGGTTTAGTAAGTTAAGTAGGAATGATGGGCAGTGATGGCCTTGACTAGAGATACCTATTGTGCTTTTGTTCCATTTATCTGATCTAATGACAGAATTAGCCGCAAAGAATGTACTGCAAAACTCCAGCAAATAAGAGGATTAGGAAAATACAATGACCGACAATATATGAGGTACATGTTTAGGCCTTCTATATGTTGACAGACATATTGATGTAAATTTATGTTTGTTATTGTGTAATTCATTGTGCAGACAATTTCAACCTGCATACTCAAGATATTGACCATTGAAGGGGCGGAGAGCAAATAGAAGTTTTTATATTACTTGTTTATTCTTTTCTTTAAAACAAATGTAACTCTCTTTATTTTAAATCCCTTTTGCTTCTGAAATTATGAATTTGAAAAGTTATCCATGATACAGTAAAATGAAGTTTGTTATAATGTGCATTGTCAAATTCTAAAATGTTCAAAGTTTCTTTACATTTATTAATCTAGACGTTCAAATTTGGGATTCCATCTTTGATAGAAGCAGGGGATACAAAAGTGTTTGAGATTTTGTATGTTAACGCAAAGAGTTGGAGACGGTGTACCGTATCTCCAATATTTATTTATGAAATGTACTTATATTCAGGAATTTTGATGAGATTATAAGAGAATTCAATACCTGTGAGTTATCTATGTTTTGTTTTATGTAGAAGAGGAAAAAAATGAAAGCAATGTAAACGTGTTTATGTGGAACTCCATCCCATGATATTATTGGAATTATTTTTTAGCATAGACAAAGATATTAAGTTATGTATGGAAATCGCTTTTAGAGTGATATGGATTGAGCAAATAGTGTATATGTTTAATTTGTCATTTTAAATTTCGAATACAATATATCTTTGTATGTAACATGAAATTCCAAATATATACTTGTCAAAGTACATGCGTACTTCTATTATGATAATGTGATTATTCAAAGATTTAAAATCAATAGAAATATATTTTAGTAGAAATGGAATTCTATCGAATCACATGATCACATCTTAATGTAAATTCTGTTTTTTATGTTGATATGGCTTGAGATTTATAACGGTTTCATTGTTTTATGTTTGTTGAGTCAGCTTTGATACGACAAACAGCTAATTAAGTGTGTTTAAAGATGTGATCCATACGTGCTCTGTATAGCCTGTATTACATTGTTTAAACAGACATTTATGAAATGTATATTATGAAAATAAATAGTTGGCAGGCTATGATTATAAATCGAAATGTGTGTCTGTGTTTTTTTTTTTTTATATTCTTGTTTGGTTATGATCTAGAAATAAGAACACTCATTGTGTGCTTAGGTATGCTTGCTCATTATTTTCAGCAACAATGCAACCTCGGTGAACATGTTTCTGTTTTACCACATTGATGGGCCAACTACAAGACAGATAGTAACACTAACGGTGATGTATGACTGTAAAGACGGAATGATAGATAGAGAGGGAGAGATAGGAAATTGGGGGGGGGGGGTGGTCGTTGAGAGATGGAAAAAAGAGACAAGAAATGTAATATGCAGACAAGCAGAAACAGAACCTGCAGAGCTACCCTTGTGTCGTCTCTGTGGCAGGCTGATGATATATTAAACTATAATAAAGTTTTTTCTTTTGTAAAGAAACACAAAGAGAGAGAGAGAGAGAAATATAATAATGGTGATATTTTGACTTTATTTTGTGAAGGATTTAATAGTGTTAGGGCTTGGTTTGTGGTTGGGTATTGGTTAAATGTGGGTGTAAGATTACATGTAGATGAAAGCAGTACTGTAAAGGTATATTGTTCAGTCCAGGGCTAAAGTTAGATAGGTTATTTTGTCACTGGAAACATGTTTTCATACCATCGGATTAGGAGAGGGAGGGAGGGAGAGAGAGAGAGAGAGAGAGAGAGAGAGAGAGAGAGAGAGAGAGAGAAAACAGAGAAAGCAAGAGATGGAGAGCGAAGGGAGGAGGGAGAGAAGAAAAAGACAGAGAAAGAGAAAGAGAAAGAGAGACAGACACAGAGAGAGACATAGGGAGAGGGTGAGAGAAAGAGAGAGACAGAGGGATTAATAACTGCCTCTTTAAAGGTCATGACCACCATCTTTTAAATTAAACCCCAAAACAAAGGGTGTTAATGTCGTCATAGAATCCACGCTTGATGTGGGAGGTATATGTCAAGGCGGTGGTAGGCTGACTTCATCACCAGTTATATCTTAACTAATGGTCTTCGCATCATTAGGTACATCACCCTCAAGTCTAGAGGAAGTGAAGTACTGCCTTAAAGGTGTGAGAGCAAAATCAAACAAAAAACGTGTGATGCACAAGGCTACCGTGACATTGCTTAAAGTTAATTTTTCGAAAGTCTTTGCGATTGTCTCGATAACAGAAACTAATTTTAAAGCTTATTACTTATTACTGTTCTGTTTACAGTCCCTTTTCTAAGACACTCGCAATAATGATTAAGGTACTCTATTCTTGTTCGGGGTAGTATGTTACACACTTCAAAGGTTCAACACAAAAAAAACTTTGGAGTTATCATCCGGCTCTTGCCTTGTTGCCCGGATGCTGCTCTACAGCTTTCAATAAACTTCTTTCTCCTGGCACCCATTGGACTCGAGGGGACTCACCTGGGTCGAGTGTGGAAAATTACGAATAATGCCCTGCCAAAGGACGTCAGTGATAAAGATCGAACCATGTTCCTTGTGATCCACGGTCTGGTGTCTGATCCACTAGACAACACCAGCTTTATAATGACCAGTGATTATACGTTGGTTTAAGAAGGCAACCGGAAATGCCACAACATCTTTCAAAATCGGGGACTGTAAGTCTAACACTTTAAAGGAAAAAATAGGCAAATAGAAGAAATGTTTGAGGACAAAGATGTGGGTCAGGACTTCTGGTGTCAGTGGAAGAGGAGGCAATATTGGCTTTTCTTGGGCGGTCATTAAGCCAGCTCATTACGAGCAATAGCTTACTTAATGGTCTGCGCGCCATTAGACTCAACACGTTATCAACCTCTCAGGAGGGTGATTAAAACGCCATAAGAAGGAGACAATCAAGCCACCTACGAGGACCTTTTCCTGGCAAGGAAGTTATCTGTATGATGATGAGGTCGTCGGAATAATACCATCATGACTATGGATGAGTTCCATCAGATGTGTAGGTTCTTTCTGAAGAATACATTCTAAACCTTCGATAAATTACTAGGAAAAAAATTAGACTATTCAATAAGAACAACTGTCATATATATTCAAAGATTACCAAAGCAAGATGATTCCATACACGATGTACTACGGTGACAAAATGACTGTTCATGATAAGTGATTAGAATGTCTACCCAATTTTCAAAATTTCCCAAAACTTTGTATTACCTTTAAAGAATATATAAATAAACAATATAATAGTCAGTATTTGCTTTTTATCAATATGAATGTCTAAATTGCAATTGAAACCAAGATTTTGATATCTTTATACAGACGGTATTATATATTTGATTTATGTTAAAGAAATGTAACTCCAATATCTTGTAATATTATGACAGATTATGTATATGTTATCATTTTGTTATTATTTATTGTGCATTGAATGAAAAATAAAATAACTTTCAAAACAAACAAACATTATCGAAGTTGCCATGATGTAAGC